AACAAGAATTTGCATGATGTCATTAACTACATCACTGACATTGCCTTGGAAGATAACTAGTTAGGTTCACGTTAGCTGTTCCAAATCTTACATTAACCTTTCATGATTTTCCCTGCAGGAAAATAAATGTTTTACCAAAGAATATTCCATATGCTTTTAGCCAATGAAACTAGAGGCTCTAAAGAGCCTGTGTCGCTCACCTTGGTCTATGTGCATATTAAACAAAGGACATAGATGGATTCATGACAAAATTGTGTTTTGGTGATGGTGATGTGTTTGTAGATCTTCCTTTACTGAACATTCTTGCTGCTTACAATTATCTCTATCTATAATGAACTTGGCCCAGTAGTTACAGTGGAAAATATTTTGTAAAAATTTACAAAAATTTACAAAATTTATGAAAATTGTAAAAAATTGAATATAAAGGGCAATAACTCCTAAAGGGGTCAATTGACAATTTTCGTCATGTTGACTTATTTGTAGATCTTACTTAGCTGTACATTATTGCTGTTTACAGTTTATCTCTATCTATAATAATATTCAAGATAATAACCAAAAGCTGCAAAATTTTCTTAAAATTACCAATTCAGGGGCAGCAACCCAACAACGTGTTGCCTGATTGATCTGAAAATTTCAGGGCAGATAGATCTTGACCTAATGAACAATTTTATCCTCGACGGATTTGCTCTAAATGCTTTGGTTTCAGAGATATAATTCAAAAACTGCATTTTACCCTATGGTCTATTTTTAGCCATGGCGGCCATCTTGGTTGGTTGGCTGGGTCATCGGACACATTTTTTAAACTAGATACCCCAATGATGATTGTGGCCAAGTTTGGTTAGATTTGGCCAAGTAGTTTCAGAGGAGAAGATTTTTGTAAAAGATTACAAAAATTTATGAAAAATGGTTAAAAATTGACTATAAAGGGCAATAACTCCTTTAGGGGTCAACTGACCATTTTGGTCAAGTTGACTTATTTGTAGATCTTACTTTGCTGAACATTATTGCTGTTTACAGTTTATCTCTATCTATAATAATATTCAAGATAATAACCAAAAACGGCAAAATTTCCATTAAATTACCAATTCAGGGGCAGCAACCCAACAAAGGGTTGTCCGATTCATCTGAAAATTTCAGGGCAGATAGATCTTGACCTGATAAACAATTTTATCCCATGTCAGATTTGCTCTAAATGCTTTGGTTTCAGAGATATAAGCCAAAATCTACATTTTACCCCTATGTTCTATTTTTAGCCATGGCGGCCATCTTGGTTGGTTGGCCGGGTCACCGGACACATTTTTTAAACTAGATACTCCAATGATGATTGTGGCCAAGTTTGGTTAAATTTGGCCAAGTAGTTTCAGAGGAGAAGATTTTTGTAAAAGTTTACGGACGACGGACGACGGACGCAGGACGACGGACGACGGACGCAAAGTGATGAGAAAAGCTCACTTGACCTTTCAGGTCAGGTGAGCTAAAAAGAGAAATTTTATAGTCGTGAATTAATGTTATATAGAGCATCCTGCAACCAATTCCTGTAGGTACTTCCTGACTGTTTAATACTGTTATATAGCAGGGTATATTGCTGTCTATTCCTGTATGTACTTCCTTACTGAATAATACTGTTATATGGAGGGTATTGCAGCCTATGGCTGTATGTACTTCCTGACTGCATAATATTCTTATATAGAGCATCTAACAGCATGTTCTTCCTAACTGTATAATATAGTTATATAGAGTGTATTCCAGCCTCAGTCTGTATGTATTTCCTGACTGTATAATATTGTTATAAAGAACATCTTGCAGCCTATGCCTGTATGTTCTTCCTAACTGCATAATATTGTTATATAGAGCATCTTATAGCATATTCCTGTATGAATAATATTGTTATATAGGGTGTATTGCAGCCTCTGCCTGTATGGACTTCCTGACTGTATAATATTGTTATAGAGTATTTTGCAGCCTATGTCTGTATTTACTTCTTGACTGAATAATACTGTTATATGGAGGGTATTGCAGCCTATGCCTGTATGTACGTACTGAATGCATAATACTCTTATATAGAGCATCTTGCAGCATGTACTTCCCGACTGTATAATATAGTTATATAGAGTGTTTTCCAGCCTCTGCCTGTATTTACTTCCTGACTGTATAATATTGTTATATAGAGCATTCTGCAGCCTATGCCTGTATGTACTTCCTAACTGAATAATATTGTTACATAGAGAGTATTGCAGCCTCTGTCTGTATGTACTTCCTGACTATATAATATTGTTATATAGAGCATCTTGCAGCCTTTTTCCTGTATGTACTTCCTGATTGTATAATTTTGCTGTATAGACCATCTTGTAGTGTATTCCTGTAGGTATTTCCAAATTGTTTAATACTGTTATATAGGGTGTATTGCAGCCTATACCTGTAGGTACTTCCTGACTGTTTACTATTGTTACATCGAGGTGCATCTTGCAGCCTTTTTCTGTAAGTACTTCTGACTGTTTAATACAGTTATATAGGGGATCTTTCAGTTTATTCCAGTAAGTATTTCCTGATTGTTTAATACGGTACTGTTATAAAGGGTACTGTAAATTCAGAAATTATTGAGAGGTTTTTATTAATGCGAATAATGCGACTGGGTGAGTATTGCAATAATATGAACTCGCATTTTGATATCTGAAACATATATCTGCAATAATTTCTGAATTTACAGTATATTACAGTCTATACCTGCTGTTGGTACTTCCTGACTGAATAATATTGTTATGTAGAGTTTATTGTAGCTTATTCCTGTATGTACTTCCTGACTGTATGTAGCAGACTGATCATTAGATGAAGATGCCTTCCAGAAGCTCAAAAGTCAACTAGCGATGCCACCTATTCTTGGTTATCCACGCTACAAGGAACCTTTTGAACTACATACAGATGCATCTATGCTTGGTCTTGGAGCAATACTGTACCAACAGCAAGAAGGAAAGAAAAGAGCCATTGCCTATGCCAGTTGAGGACTTAGCAAGACTGAGAAGAACTATCCAGTCCATAAATTAGAATTCCTTGCTTTGAAATGGTCAGTGACAGAAAAATTCCATGACTACCTTTATGGCAACACATTTACCGTGGTTACAGACAACAACCGACTTACTTATGTCTTAACAACAGCAAAGCTTGATGCCACTGGACATTGTTGGATAGCAAGTTTGTCATCCTACAACTTTAATATCGTCTATCGACCTGGTGCCAACAACGCTGATGCAGATACACTTTCCAGACTTCCAGAACTACTTGGTCGTACCAACACCTCCAACATTAGAAAAGATTCTGTGAAAGCCATATGTCAGTTACATCACGCACAACCCTACGTTCAGATGTTATCGATGACAATACCTAAAGCCACAGATGATCCATATTTACCATCACAGCATCTAGTTAACATCAAGATGGAACATAACAGATACCTACATCAAAGATTGGATATACTGGGTTGATGAACATCACAAGCCATGAAAAGAGCAACTAGAATGATCACCATGGAACAATTGGTTTATGAACAACTATGACATATTGAAAATGGTTGATGGCGTACTCTACCGTATCATCCTTGACATCATGCGATGCAACACCTAGTGGTAAATGGCTTGCTGAGGACGTCAACTTTCAGTGAAGGGGGAAAACAGATTAGAATGACGTGGAGGTCATTTTCCTACAGCGGGGAAAATGTAGCAGAATGATTTTTATGATCATTTTATATATTGTAAAAATCATCTATTTAATTACTATTTTTATTATAAAAGCTTACTTATTTTGAATATTGAATCTGAGTTTAAATTATTACTTGTAAACCTTAATTTTGTGTATAGTAATATGCACTTTATTTTTCTATGAATGTTCATTGGGGATTTACTTGAATCCTTGTATTTGATTGGTTGTTAGTATTTCGCGGTCAAGTTTAATTTCCTTTGTTATGGACCTAGTACATTTCCACGGGACGATAGCCATGACAGTCGATTGTATTTATGTCCCGTTTATATTGACCACATAGTTTACCTGTATACCTTATTACTTTGGACACAACATACTTTTTAACTACTGGTAATAAACATCAGAACTTTAGATCCTCCTTAGTGTTATTCCTTAGCATAGGAACCATCTACTACTTGTATTATAGTTGTTATATAGAGAATATTGTAGCCTATGCCTGTAGGTACTTCCTGACTGTCTAATATTAATGTATAGAGCATCTCTGGGTTTATAATCCTATATTGATCTTTTGGAGCACAAACTTTCATACCAGTAGAAGTTCAACCAGCTGTATTTTGAAGAAAAACTGATCAAACTTTAAGAAAGTTTTCTTCCATTGATTGAGAGACTGTTTGTATATTTAATGGCACATGACCTCTACAACTGTACAACTACTAAAAATCCTTTGATCTTTAAATGTTTACTGTACTTTTATATCAATAAGTGAGTTGTAATCAAATCAATATATTGTTATCAATATCACTACTGACATTGATTTCTGTTTCACCACATTCATACTACTTCCTTTATAATTATTGAATTGATGGGGTATTTTTTACCTGCCTTTTTGGTTTTTTTTTTTATTGGCATTATACTTGAAATTATGAACAAGAGAAAAATTCATGAACATTAAGAACATCTTGTATCAAGCTATAGGATGTATTGAGTAAAGCAAAAAAAAATAATAATTAAACATCTATCAGAAAATTAGAAGGCAGAAGACATGTAGTGAAAAACATCTGAAATTTCCTGATATAGATATTTTTTTTAAAAACAAGTTAGTTGCCACTAGAAATGTTTTACTTTCTCAGAGTGGGACTTAGATTTAACACTCAAAGAAAACACCATTTCTTGATTTAGAGAAAGATAGAATAAGCCATTTTCAGTCAGTTTATTTGAATTAGTAAGCACAAGTATATGTACCTATTGAAGAATTCAAATTCTTCAAGTAGAACATGCGTTTACAATAAAGTTAACTGGTAACTTACCTGAATAATGTCCTGAGATATGGCATCTCTGTATGATCCAAGATACAGAAATGGTAAGATGTGTGTTGGTCCTACACTAGACACTGGTAGGCATGGCTGAGACAAGAATGTCAAAGCTTTACATCTGTCAGATTTACTTTCACATAATTTTGGCTGCATGGCACTAAATGTCAAGTATCCCCCTGAAAACATAAAATTCTGAATGTGCTACTTATGTTTAATTTTTTGGTTAAACAGCAAACTTTAACAGCTCTTTCCTTAGGCATTCATTGGGGCTCTTCTCCCATCTTAGATTGTAAAATGGATGGGTTGTGCAAAATATTTCTTTAAGGATGTACTTAGGTGAAATTAAAAAAATCTAGAATTTAAAATTGATACTATAAGTCAGAAGAGCATCAGTTAAGGAACAAAATAAGCTAAAAATATTTATAGGTTATGGAGCTCCTTTACAAGATATTTAATTTTTTTAAAATGGCTGGAAAAGGCTGACTCGAACTTTTACCTTATATTTGCATTGGTCTCAAATTGAAAGAAAAGAAATCTAGAATCTGCTTAAATTTTGGTAAATGACCTTTTATGAGCTATTGAAGTCTTATATGAAAAGAAAAATGTGTGTTATGGGGCAAAATATTTTACCCTGTATCGTAGGAAAAAACCAAATGTTCGGACTGAACATTTTACAAAAATTCCTAAACCTCACCTAAGTACATACTTAACAATGGAGAACAGTCTATTTTTAACATTTAAATACATATGGAAGGTAAAAAAATGGGAAAATTATAAAAACAACAAAAGGCTGTCAGAGTTTTCAAAAAGAAGAGGGTGGGGGACTTCCCCTCAATTTCATTTGATTAGTTTTATTGTCCCATTCAAGAAAATATATGGTTTAGAGATGGGGATCTCGACCGTTTACAAGTTATCAAAAAGAAGGGGGGTGGGGGGTTACCCCCATGGATTTCCCCCAATATTTCATTTGATTTGTTTTATTGTCCCATACAAGAATATATATGGTTAAGGGGTGGGGATCTCTACGGTTTACAAGTTCTTAAACAGGAGGGGGGTGGGGGTGACCCCAGGGGATTCGCCTTATATTTCATTTGATTTGTTTTATTGTCCCATACAAGAATATATATGGTTTCGGGGTGGGGATCTTGACCGTTTACAAGTTTTCAAAAAAAAAAACGGGGTGGGGGTTACCCCAGGGGACTTCCCCTCAATTTCATTTCATTTCTTTATTATCCCATTCAAGAATATATATGGTTTAGGGGTGGGGATCTCAACCTTTTACAAATTATCAAAAAGAAGGGGGGGTGGGGGGGGGGGGGGGGGGTGGGGGTACCCACATGGACTTCCCCTATATTTCATTTGATTTGTTTTATTATCCCATACAATAAGGGTGGGGATCTCGACCGTTTACAAGTTCTTAAACAGGAGGGGGGTGGGGGTGACCCCAGGGGACTCACCTTTTATTTTTATTTGTCTCATACAAAAATATATATGGTTTCGGGGTGGGGATCTTGACCGTTTACAAGTTTTCTTAACTAGAGGCTCTAAATAGCCTGTGTCGCTCACCTTGGTCTATGTGCATATTAAACAAAGGACACAGATGGATTCATGACAAAATTGTGTTTTGGTGATGGTGATGTGTTTGTAGATCTTACTTTACTGAACATTCTTGCTCCTTACTATTATCTCTATCTATAATGAACTTGGCCCAGTAGTTATAGTGGAAAATATTTTGTAAAAATTTTTAAAATTTCAAAACTTATGAAAATTGTAACAAGAGTGCACACGCTGAAATGTCTCACCTTCTTTACTAATCATTGATATTATGTTGATAGTCCTAAATATACAGCTTTATTACAACTGTCACATAAACTTAACATTAACCAAGTAAACTAAACATTGACCAGTGAACCATGAAAATGAGGTCAAGGTCAGATGAACCATGCTAGGCAGGCATGTACAGCTAACAATTCTTCCATACAACAAATATAGTTGACCTATTGCTTATAGTTTAAGAAAAACAGACCAAAACACAAAAACTTAACACTGAGCAATGAACCTTGAAAATGAGGTCAAGGTCAAATAAAACCTGCGTGACTGCCAAATAGATCATAAAATATTTCCATACACCAAATATAGTTGAACTATTGCATATAGTATTAGAAAAAAAGACCAAAACTCAAAAAACTTAACTTTGACCACTGAACCATGAAAATGAGGTCAAGGTCAGATGACACCTGCCCGCTAGACATGTACACCTTACAATCATTCCATACACCAAATATAGTAGACCTATGGCATACAGTATAAGAAAAACAGACCAAAACACAAAAACTTAACTATAACCACTGAACCATGAAAATGAGGTCAAGGTCAGATGACACCTGCCAGTTGGACATGTACACCTTACAGTCCTTCCATACACCGAATATACTAGACCTATTGCTTATAGTATCTGAGATATGGACTTGACCACCAAAACTTAACCTTGTTCATTGATCCATGAAATGAGGTCGAGGTCAAGTGAAAACTGTCTGACGGGCATGAGGACCTTGCAAGGTACGCACATACCAAATATAGTTGAACTATTGCATATAGTATTAGAAAAAAAGACCAAAACTCAAAAAATTAACTTTGACCACTGAACCATGAAAATGAGGTCAAGGTCAGATGACACCTGCCCGCTAGACATGTACACCTTACAATCATTCCATACACCAAATATAGTAGACCTATGGCATACAGTATAAGAAAAACAGACCAAAACACAAAAACTTAACTATAACCACTGAACCATGAAAATGAGGTCAAGGTCAGATGACACCTGCCAGTTGGACATGTACACCTTACAGTCTTTCCATACACCGAATATACTAGACCTATTGCTTATAGTATCTGAGATATGGACTTGACCACCAAAACTCAACCTTGTTCACTGATCCATGAAATGAGGTCGAGGTCAAGTGAAAACTGTCTGACGGGCATGAGGACCTTGCAAGGTACGCACATACCAAATATAGTTATCCTATTACTTATAATAAGAGAGAATCTAACATTACAAAAAATCTTAACTTTTTTTTCAAGTAGTCACTGAACCATGAAAATGAGGTCAAGGACATTGGACATGTGACTGACGGAAACTTCGTAACATCAGGCATCCATATACAAAGTATGAAGCATCCAGACCTTCCACCTTCTAAAATATAAAGCTTTTAAGAAGTTAGCCAACACCGCCGCCGGATCACTATCCCTATGTCGAGCTTTCTGCGACAAAAGTCGCAGGCTCGACAAAAAATTGACTATAAAGGGCAATAACTCCTTAAGGAGTCAATTGACAATTTTGGTCATGTTGACTTATTTGTAGATCTTACTTTGCTGTACATTATTGCTGTTTACAGTTTATCTCTATCTATAATAATATTCAAGATAATAACCAAAAGCTGCAAAATTTTCTTAAAATTACCAATTCAGGGGCAGCAACCCAACAATGTGTTGTCCGATTCATCTGAAAATTTCAGGGCAGATAGATCTTGACCTGATAAACAATTTTATCCCATGTCAGATTTGCTCTAATTGCTTTGGTTTCAGAGATATAAGCCAAAATTTACATTTTACCCCTATGTTCTATTTTTAGCCATGGTGGCCATCTAGGTTAGTTGGCCGGGTCACCGGACACATTTTTTAAACTAGATACCCCAATGATGATTGTGGCCAAGTTTGGTCAAATTTGGCCAAGTAGTTTCAGAGGAGACGGACGACGGACACCAAGTGATGAGAAAAGCTCACTTGGCCTTTTGGGCCAGGTGAGCTAAAAAAGGGGGTGGGGGTTTCCCCAGGGGACTTCCCCTCAATTTCATTTGATTTGTTATATGGTCACATTCAAGAATATATATGGTTTAGGGGTGGGGATCTCGACCTTTTACAAGATATCAATAAAATGCTCCGCTGGGCGCAGCTTGATAGGACTGCAGAGGTGGAACCCTGAACAGTTGGGGCAAGTATGGACACAACATTCAAGCTTGATACAGCACTGAATTTGGATTGTGATTAAATATTTGACACAGCATAGGTTTCTGACACAGAATGAATGTGGTCTAAGAACTTAAAAATCTTTAAATTACCTATTCAAACCATATCATTATTATTTGCTTTTATATTAATCAGAAGTAACCAATTTAAAATGGAAAATTTTTAAAAATAAAAAGGAAAAAAAGGGGAAACCACCCCCCCCTCCAATTTTTTGAACCCCCTCATGATTCATCACCCCAAACTCAATCCCAGCCTTCCCTTTGTGGTATGGTACCTAGCAGAACAATTTCAGAGAGACCCATACACTTGAACACAAGTTATTGTCTGAAAACTAGAAAAATGCTTGTTTTTTTACCCCTTTTTGGCCCCAAATTCCTAAACGTTTAGGGCAATTACCCCCAAACTCAAACCCAGCTTTCCCTTTGTGATATGGAACCTTGTAGTACAATTTCAAAAAAATCCATACACTTACACACAAGTTATTGTCCTGAAACTAGAAAAATACTTGTTTTTTTGCCCCTTTTTGGCCCCTAATTCTTTACATTTTGAGGCAATTACCCCCAAAATCAATCCCAGCCTTCCATTTGTGGTACGGTACCTTGCAGTACATTTTCAGAGAGATCCATACGCTTGAACACAAGTTATTGTCTGGAAACTAGAAAAATGTTTATTTTTGGCCCCTTTTTGACCCCTTATTCCTAAACGTTTTGGGCAATTATCCCCAAACTCAATTCCAGCTTTTCCTTTGTGATATGGAACCTTATAGTACAATTTCAGAAAGATCCATACACTTACACACAAGTTATTGTTATGAAACTAGAAAAATGCTTGTTTTTTGCCACTTTTTTGGCCCCTAATTCCTAAAATTTTGAGGCAATTAGCCCCAAAATCAATCCCAGCATTCCCTTTGTGACATGGAACCTTGTGGTACAATGTCAGAGAGATCCATACACTTACACACAAGTTGTGTCTGGAAGTTACAAAAATGCTTATTTTTGGCCCCTAATTCCTTAACTGTTGGTACCATAACCCCAAAAATTCAATCCCAACCTTCCTTTTGTGGTATTGAACCTCATGGTAAAATTTCATAGAGATCCCTTCACTTAAACTAAAGTTAGAGTGTGAAAACCAATGTGTCTTCGGACGACGACGACAACGACGCCAACGTCATACCAATATACGACTGCAAAATTATTTTGCGGTCGTATAAAAAAAAGGGGGGGGGGGGTTACCCCCATGGACTTCCCCTATATTTCATTTGATTTGTTTTATTGTCCCATACAAGAATATATATGGTTTAGGGGTGGGGATCTAGACTGTTTACAAGTTCTTAAACAAAAATCCCCCCCCCTCTAATTTTTAAAACCCCTTATGATTCATCACCCCCAAACTCAATCCCAGCCTTCCCTTTGTGGTATGGTACCTTGCAGTATAATTTCAGAGCTCAGAACACAAGTTATTGTCTGGAAACTAGAAAAATGCTTGTTTTTTGGCCCCTTTTTTGCCCCAAATTCCTAAACATTTAGGGCAATTACCCCCAAACTCAAACCCAGCTTTCCCTTTGTGATATGGAACCTCGTGGTACAATTTCATAAAGATCCATACACTTACACACAAGTTATTGTCCTGAAACTATAACTAGAGGCTCTCAAGAGCCTGTGTCGCTCACCTGTATTTACTGATGCTTTGGAAATCATGTAAAATAAGGTTAAAATCATAATTAATAGTATTAGATATTACATATTATAATGATATCTAAGATAATAACAAATAAAATGCTCCGCAGGGCGCAGCTTGATACGACCGCAGAGGTCGAACCCTGAACAGTTGGGGCAAGTATGGACACAACATTCAAGCTTGATACAGCTCTGAATTTGGATTGTGATTAAATATTTGACACAGCATAGGTTTCTGACACAGAATGAATGTGGTCTAAGAACTTAAAAATTTTAAATTGGACATCCACCTATTATGGTCCAATATCCAAAATCTAAATACATGGTTAGATTCAGCATATCAAAGAACCCCAAGAATTCAATTTTTGATGAAATCAAACAAAGTTTAATTTTGGACCCTTTTGACCTCAATGTGGAAAAAGTTGATAATGGGGCCCAAAAATCAAAAATCTAAATACATGGTTAGATTCAGCATATCAAAGAACCCCATATATTCAATTTTTGTTGAAATCAAACAAAGTTTAATTTTGGACCCCAATTTGGACCAACTTGAAAACTGGGCCCATAATCAAAAATCTAAATACATGTTTAGATTCAGCATATCAAAGAACCCTAAGAATTCAATTTTTGTTAAAATCAAACTAAGTTTAATTTTGGACCCTTTGGACCTTAAAGTAGACCAATTTGAAAACGGAACCAAAAATTAAGAATCTAAATACACGGTTAGATTCGGCATATCAAAGAACCCCAATAATTCAATTTTTGATGAAATCAAACAAAGTTTAATTTTGGACCCTTTGGACCTCAATGTGGACCAATTTAAAAACAGGGCCCAAAATCCAAAAACTTAATACATGGTTAGATTCAGCATATTAAAGAACCCCAAGAATTCAAGAATAAAACCCCATTGAAATTGGTCAAGAAATAAGCAATTTATACGAAGTATCTTATTTTGCACAATACTGTGCAATTGAATATTTCTTGCTATTGCGCAATACTGTACAATTGACAATTTCTTGCTATTGCGCAATATTGTGCTATTGGATATTTCTTGCTATTGCACAATACTGTGCAATTGAAGATTTCTTGCTATTGCGCAATACTGTGCAATTGAAGATTTCTTGCTATTGTGCAATACTGTACAGTGAAAATTTCTTGCTATTGCACAATACTTATTATATAATAATTTACACATCCTGTTTGGTGTGTATCTCCTACCATATCATTATTATTTGCTTTTAAGGTAAGGTTTGCATGAAACCTGGATTTTATTCTTAGAGATATTATACCAATATGATACATCATTTTGTTCAGGGAGGAGTACCCAATCATTTAATGAAAAAAAAATCGAACATCGCCCGTCCTGTTTTTTCAGGTGAAAAGCTCAAAATTCCGATTTTTGACGATTTTTAGGGAAAATTGTATTTGAATTCTTCTGAAATAATAATGTATGCGTGTGACTATAAAAAAATAAAACTGAATAAAACATGTATAAATAATTGTGGTCCATTCATTAATAATAAATTTTAATTAAAAAAATCATAAAAAAGTTCCTAAAAACAAGATTTTTTAATTTTTGGGTTAAAAAAACCTGTTGCCATGGCAACAAAAAGCCAAAAATATCCCTTTTCCGGGTCCACCATTTTTGTAAAAAACTGAACTTAAGGATTTAAATATTTGCATTATAATGAGCTAATAAAATTGGTATGTCCCCAAACTTGTTTTTACGGAAATGGGCGTTATGTGTTCATCTTGTCATTTCTGTAAAACACAAAAATATTTTTTTGTTGATCTCCAAAGAAGAAAGTCATCTTTAATAGCATATTTTTACAAAGAATCATTTTGTCTTGTAACACTTTGGGAAAAAAAACTTAATTCAAGTAGTTTGGGGGAGGGATAAAAGTTGCTGCAAGTTTTGTTAATTTGACATCGATTTTACATATATCCATATTGGTCAATCATTTTTTTTCCAAATTAAGTTAAGAGGAGGGATGGGGAGGGGGGGGGGAGGGTCAGTAAACAAACTATGTGAATTAAGTTTTTTTTTTATCCTACATTGAACTTTTGATGTAGTCCCTTAACTTTTATACCCACAACTATCAGTCGGAAGGGGAGGTGTTTAAATTTGGTCATACTTGTGTATCAATACATGTACAAGACTCTGATTTTGAAGGAAACACTTATATTCTTTCAGTTCTTCAAACTGTAATATTTTGAATCTTAGGAAAACATTCAAATTGCCATTAAAAGTAATGAAAATTGCTTTATTTCCCCATGTTTGGTAAACTGTTTGTATGCAGCAATTGGATGAAAAGACATCAGTTTTGACTAGTAAAGTCATTTACAGCAGCCGTGTTTATTCCATTAGTTTAAATCTAGACATCAACAAATGTTATTCAAATATGATCAAATATTTATGACGAAGCAGGGGAAAGCCTTGCAGGAGAAAGATAGATTACTAGCATGATTTGTCCAATTGTTACACATGCTGTTCAGATTTGGGGTCTTTGACCAAACAAACAAACTACATGCTCCTATACATGATGAAAGACGAAACAGACGATGGCCTGGGAATACAAATGACCAGCCGTATATGTATTGTTCATATTTAAAATAAGAAATGTAGTTATGTAGGCCTGTAATATGAAAATCTTCCACATACTTTCAATAAATTAAAATCATACGTAAGAGCTTAGAATAAATGGGGAATGTGTCCATGGGACACTGATGATGCCCCTCTTGCATAAACATAAAACATTATAAAGCATTACGTATAAATTCTATAACATTTGGTTGAAGCAAACTAAAGGTAGAGAACAGAAACGAAAAATTCAGAAAACGACCTCATAAAAATACTCTGAGCGTCGTCACTACTTCATTAAGATCTCTTATATATACGGAGAAAGACTAAAAACTAACAATTTCCCGGATTTTATAGTGAGTCCGTGCATGTGTAGAGACACATGTTACCATCCTTGTTTTTAGATAAATTGATTCAAAGTAGACTGATATGCATAGAAGTTTGTTTGATTAGAGGTTGTAAAATGTCCGGTGGCAAATACTTCAGGCATGTTCAGGACGACACAATACAATAGTTGTGTCTAAAAGACACATTTTTAGTGCATCCATAAAAGAAATTACGATAAGAAACATTCCGTCAGTTGTAAAAGTGATTGATAAAATAACATATATTTCGAATGATGTAAACGTGTGGGTTGTGTGCGTATTTGCGGATAAACCTTGCAAACTGTACATTTGAAAAGACCAAGTTCAACATTCTGTCATTCGTAAAAATTATGCAATAAAAATATCTGAGAATATATATATGCATCCTCTATAAGTAAAACACATGGCGCATTATGTAAATTCCAACCATTTTAAACGAAATTGACTAAAAGTATCACAAAAATGTGCCGTTTTTCACTCAATTCTGCGTTTCTATAATTTGTATTTATACTTTATGAAAAATTTGGAAACGGCGTGCATCAACACTTACAAATTCAATGAAAGAGACAGCTTAACAGTCAGTGAAAAAGTTATCGAGGTTCTTGAAGAATAAACAACACTTCTATCTTGTGAAAGGACAAGACTGGGATAAGCCATAAAAACACAAGATATAAGATCGATTTCTATTGAAATGAGCTTCCCATACATTAGTTTTTTTTAGGTTTAACGGCTACAAGAGAAAGGGGACGGGAGAAAGGAGAAAGGTATACCCTGTCCGACCCCTCATAAATCTAGAACTGTAAAAGTGACGACATCAAAATTCAAATTTATTCTGTGTTTTTGTGGTAAAAAGCATTGTGCATAAGTTTTATATATCAGTTGGTTGAGGCAAACTAAAGTTAGAGAACGGAAACCAATTTTGTAAAAACGGACGTACACTATGATAAGTACATTCGGTTGGACGTACAAACAGACAAGGATAAAACTCAATGCCCCGTTTGCTACGGTGGGGGCATAAAAATGTACATTTATGAAATAAAATAAAATTCCGCAAAATTTTATGAATGGTTTTTGCACAAAGACGTAATGGTTTAACATGACGTCATATAAATGAAAACTAACAAACTGAAGGTCATAACCTTACTTGTACAATTCAAATTTTGATAAAATTACATCAAAACGGCGATTTTGAGGTAGGTGTTGTTTTATTTTCGATATTGTAGTTATCCAACATTGGTTAATCAAAGCAATTCAAAATGGCGGGTCCCTCCTTTTTTCAATTATTTGAATTCGAGTTATCTCCCTGTATATGCAAACCTTACCTTAAATATAAATAAGAAATAACCAACTTAAAATGGAAAATTTTAAAAGAAAAAAACTAGAGGCTCTCAAGAGACTGTGTCGCTCACCTGTATTTACTGATGCTTTGGAAATCATGTAAAATACAGTTAAAATCATAATTAATAGTATTAGATATTAGATATTATAATGATATCTAAGATAATAACAAAAAACTGCAAAATTTTTGTAAAATTACTAACTCAGGGGCAGCAACCCAACAACAGGTTGTCGGATTCGTCTGAAAATTTCAGGGCAGATAAATCTAAATCTGATGAACATTTTTGCCACCTGTCAGATTTGCTCTAAATGCTTTAGTTTCAGAGATATAAACCAAAAACTGCATTTTACCCCTATGGTCTATTTTTAACCAAGTCGGCCATGATGGTTAGAAAGAGGGGTCATCGGACAAATTTTTTAAACTAGATACCCTAATAATGATTATGGCCAAGTATGGTTAAATTTGTCTCAGTAGTTTCAGAGAATAAGATTTTGGTACAAGATTACAAAAATTTACGAAAAATTGTTAAAAATTGACTATTAAGGGCAATAACTCCTAAAGGGGTCAACTGACAATTTTGGTCATGACAACTTATTTGTAGATCTTACTTTGCTAAACATTATTGCTGTTTACAGTTTATCTCTATCTATAATAATATTCAAGATAATAACAAATAAAATGCTCCGCAGGGCGCAGCTTGATACAACCGCAGATGTCGAACCCTGAACAGTTGGGGCAAGTATGGACACAACATTCAAGCTTGATACAGCTTTGCATTTGGATTGTGATTAAATATTTGACACAGCATAGGTTTCTGACACAGAATGAATGTGGTCTAAGAACTTAAAAATTTTAAATTGGACATTCACCTATTATGGTCCAATATCCAAAATCTAAATAATGGTTAGATTCAGCATATCAAAGAACCCCAAGAATTCAATTTTTGATGAAATCAAACAAAGTTTAATTTTGGACCCTTTTGACATCAATGTGGACAAAGTTGATAACGGGGCCCAAAAATCAAAAATCTAAATACATGGTTAGATTCAGCATATCAAAGAACCCCATATATTCAATTTTTGTTGAAATCAAACAAAGTTTAATTTTGGACCCCAATTTGGACCAACTTGAAAACTGGGCCCATAATCAAAAAACTAAATACATATTTAGATTCAGCATATCAAAGAACCCTAAGAATTCAATTTTTGTTAAAATCAAACTAAGTTTAATTTAGGACCCTTTGGACCTTAATGTAGACCAATTTGAAAACGGAACCAAAAATTAAGAATCTAAATACACGGTTAGATTCGGCATATCAAAGAACCCCAATAATTCAATTTTTGATGAAATCAAACAAAGTTTAATTTTGGACCCTTTGGACCTCAATGTGGACCAATTTAAAAACGGGGCCCAAAATCCAAAAACTTAATACACGGTTAGATTCAGCATATTAAAGAACCCCAAGAATTCAAGAATAAAACCCCATTGAAATTTGTCAAGAAATAAGCAATTTATACGAAGTATCTTCTTTTGCACAATACTGTGCAATTAAATATTTCTTGCTATTGCGCAATACTGTACAATTGACAATTTCTTGCTATTGCGCAATATTGTGCTATTGGATATTTCTTGCTATTGCGCAATACTGTGCAATTGAAGATTTCTTGCTATTGCGCAATACTGTGCAATTGAAGATTTCTTGCTATTGTGCAATACTGTTCAATTGAAAATTTCTTGCTATTGCACAATAATTTACACATCCTGTTTGGTGTGTATCTCCTACCATATCATTATTATTTGCTTTTAAATGTAAATCAGAAATAACCAACTTAAAATGGAAAATTTTAAAAGAAAAAAAAAAGGAAAAAAAGAAAAAAAAGGAAAAAAAAAAAATCCCCCCCCCCCAAATTTTTTGAACCCCCTTATGATTCATCACCCCCAAACTCAATCCCAGCCTTCTCTTTGTGGTATGGTACTTTGCAGTACAATTTCAGAGAGATCCATACACTTGAACACAAGTTATTGTCTGAAAACTAGAAAAATGTGTTTTTTTTCCCTTTTTGGCCCCAAATTCCTAAACGTCTAGGGCAATTACCCCAAAACTCAAACCCAGCTTTCCCTATGTGATATGGAACCTTGTAGTACAATTTCAGAAAGATCCATACACTTACACACAAGTAATTGTCCTGAAACTAGAAAAATGTGTTTTTTGCCCCTTTTTGGCCCCTAATTCCTAAAATATTGAGGCAATTACCCCCATCATCAATCCCAGCCTTCCCTTTGTGGTATGGTACCTTGCAGTACAATTTCAGAGAGATCCATACACTTGAACACAAGTTATTGTCTGGAAACTAGAAAAATGCTTATTTTTGGCCCCTTTTAGGCCCCCAATTCCTAAACGTTTCGACAATTACCCCCAAACTCAATTCCAGCTTTCCCTTTGTGATATGGAACCTTGTAGTAAAATTTCAGAAAGATCCATACACTTACACACAAGTTATTGTCATGAAACTAGAAAAATGCTTGTTTTTTGTCCCTTTTTTGGCCCCTAATTCCTAAAATTTGGAGGCAATTACCCCCAAAATCAATCCCAGCATTCCTTTTGTGATATGGAACCTTGTGGTACAATGTCAGAGAGATCCATACACTAACACACAAGTTATGTCTGGAAGTTACAAAAATGCTTATTTTTGGCCCCTTTTTGGCCCCTAATTCCTTTACTGTTGGTACCATAACCCCCAAAATCAATCCCAACCTTCCTTTTGTGGTATTGAACCTTGTGGTAAAATTTCATAGAGATCCATTCACTTAAACTAAAGTTAGAGTGCGAAAACCAATGTGTCTTCGGACGACGCCAGACGACGACGACGACGCCAACGTCATACCAATATACGACCACAAAAATTTTTTTGCAGTCGTATAAAAACTGCAAAATTTCCTTAAAATTACCAATTTTAGGGGCAGCAACCCAACAACAGGTTGTCAGATTTGTCTGAAAATTTCAGGGCAGATAGATCTTGACCTGATAATCAGTTTTACCCTATGTCAGATTTACTCTAAATGCGTGATTTCAGAAATATCCAAACACTTACACACAAGTTATTGTCATGAAACTAGAAAAATGCTTGTTTTTTGCCCCTTTTTTTGCCCCTAATTCCTAACATTTTGAGGCAATTACCCAAAAAATCAATCCCAGCATTCCCTTTGTTATATGGAACCTTGTGGTACAATTTCAGAGAGATCCATACACTAACATACAAGTTATGTCTGGAAGTTACAACTAGAGGCTCTCAAGAGCCTGTGTCGCTCACCTGTATTTACTGATGCTTTGGAAATCATGTAAAATAAGGTTAAAATCATAATTAATAGTATTAGATATTAGATATTATAATGATATCTAAGATAATAACAAATAAAATGCTTCGCTGGGGCGCAGCTTGATACGACCGCAGAGGTCGAACCCTGAACAGTTGGGGCAAGTATGGACACAACATTCAAGCTTGATACAGCTCTGAATTTGGATTGTTATTAAATATTTGACACAGCATAGGTTTCTGACACAGAGAGAATGTGGTCTAAGAACTTGAATTTTTTTAATTTACCTATTATGGTCCAATGTCCAAAATCAAAATACATGGTTAGATTCAGCATATCAAAGAACCCCATATATTCAATTTCTGTTAAAATCAAACAAAGTTTAATTTTGGACCCCAACTTGGACAAACTTGAAAACTGGGCCCATAATCAAAAATCTAAACATATGTTTAGATTCAGCATATCAAAGAACCCCAAGAAATCAATTTTTGCTAAAATCAAACTAAGTTTAATTTTGGACCCTTTGGACCTTAATGTAGACCAATTTAAAAAACAGGACTTAAAATTAAAAATCTAAATACACGGTTAGATTTGGAATATCAAAGAACCCCAAGAATTCAATTTTTGATGAAATCAAACAAAGTTTAATTTTGGACCCTTTTGGCCTCAATATGAACCAATTTGATAGCGGGGCCCACAAATAAAAAATCTAAATTCATGGTTAGATTCAGCATATCAAAGAACCCCATATATTCAATTTTTGTTGAAATCAAAAAAAGTTTAATTTTGGAATCCAACTTGGACCAACTTGAAAACTGGGCCCATAATCAAAAATCTAAACACATGTTTAGATTCAGCATATCAAAGAACCCCAAGAATTCAATTTTTGTTAAAATCAAACTAAGTTTAATTTTGGACCCTTTGGACCTCAATGAAGACAAATTTAAAAAACGGGACCCAAATTAAACATCTAAAAAAACGGTTAGATTTGGCATATCAAAGAACCCCAATAATTCAATTTTTCATGAAATCAAACAAAGTTTAATTTTGGACCCTTTTGACCTCAATATGAACCAATTTGATAGCGGGGCCTACAAATAAAAAATCTAAATACATGGTTAGATTCAGCATATCAAAGAACCTCATATATTCAATTTTTGTTGAAATCAAACAAAGTTTAATTTTGGACCCCAATTTGGACCAACTTGAAAATTGGGCCCATAATCAAAAATCTAAATACATGTTTAGATTCAGCATATCAAAGAACCCCATATATTCAATTTTTGTTGAAATCAAACAAAGTTTAAATACTGGACCCTATCTTGGACCAACTTGAAAACTGGGCCCATAATCAAAAATCTAAACACATGTTTAGATTCAGCATATCAAAGAACCCCAAGAATTCAATTTTTGTTAAAATCAAACTAAGTTTAATTTTGGACCCTTTGGACCTTAATGTAGACCAATTTAAAAAACAGGACCCAAAATTAAAAATCTAAATACACGGTTAGATTTGGAATATCAAAGAGCCCCAATAATTCAATTTTAGATGAAATCAAACAAAGTTTAATTTTGGACCCTTTTGACCTCAATATGAACCAATTTGATAACGGGGTCCACAAATAAAAAATCTAAATACATGGTTAGATTCAGCATATCAAAGAACCCCATATATTCAATTTTTGTTGAAATCAAACAAAGTTTAATTTTGGACCCCAATTTGGACCAACTTGAAAACTGGGACAAAAATCAAAAATCTAAATACATGTTTAGATTCAGCATATCAAAGAACCTCATATATTCAATTTTTGCTAAAATCAAACAAAGTTTAATTTTGGACCCTTTGGACCTTAATGTAGACTATTTTGAAAACTGGACCCAAAATTAAAAATCTAAATACACTGTTAGATTCGGCATAACAAATAAATAAATGTGATCAAAGATTTTACAAATCTAATGTGCCATACTGTGCAATTAAAGATAACTTCTTGAAATTTTTCAATATTTGAAATTTGAAAAAAAAATAATATTTGAAGGATAATTCTTTTTAATTTCTGAAATCTGAAATGAGAAAAAATTGACCCCCCACAATTTCTTTTTATCCCCCCCCCCCCCTTTTTTCCCCCAAAATATTCTTTCCCTCAAGATATGGTCATAATCTCAATTCAAATTTCCAATGGAGTTGGCAACCATAATTACCCATTTAATTTTACCATAGTGCTAACTTAATCTATTTTATAAAAGAATTAAAAATATAGTGTCAAATCTTTCATATAGATTTTTTTGTAAAATAAAATGATGCAACATTTGCAGATATTTTTACTGGTCTTCCTTTATAAATATGCATTTCTTTAAACATAATTTAAAAGCAGTGTAAGGGAACTAACCAAAACGTTGTATTTGGATTACCTCCCTTACACTGTTTTAAATTATCTTTATTGTTCATTAACCATTACTTTATACATAATTTAAAAGCAGTGTAAGGGAGATAATTTCAATGATGTATTTGATTTATCTCCCGTACACTGCTTTAAATTATGTTTTGTACTAAAGTATTTGTCCATTAACCAGGACAACCTTGTTTTTCCCCCTTTTTTGCCCCTAATTCCTAAACGGTTTGAGCCATAACCCCCCAAAGCAAATCCTAACCATCCCTTTGTGGTATGGAAACTTGTAGTTTAATTTCAGAGAGATCCATACACTGTTCCACAGTTATTGTCTGGAAACTAGAAAATGCTTATTTTTGGCCCCTTTTTGGCCCCTAATTCCTTAACTGTTGGTACCATAACCCCCAAAATCAATCCCAACCTTCCTTTTGTGGTATTTAACCTTATGGTAAAATTTCAAAAAGATCCATTCACTTAAACTAAAGTTAGAGTGCGAAAACCAATGTGTATTCGGACGACGACGCAGGACGACGACGACGACGCCAACGTCATACCAATATACGACCACAAAAATTTTTTTGCGGTCGTATAAAAACTGCAAAATTTTTGTAAAATTACTAACACAGGGGCAGCAACCCAACAACGGGTCGTCGGATTTGTCTGAAAATTTCAGGGCAGATAAATCTAAATCTGATGAACATTTTGCCACATGTCAGATTTGCTCTAAATGCTTTAGTTTCAGAGATATAAACCAAAAACTGCATTTTACCCCTATGTTCTATTTTTAGCCATGGCGGCCATCTTGGTTGGTTGGCGGGGTCATCGGACAAATTTTTTAAACTAGATACCCTAATAATGATTATGGCCAAGTATGGTTAAATTTGTATCAGTAGTTTCAGAGAAGAAGATTTTTGTAAAAGATTACAAAAATTTACGAAAAATTGTTAAAAATTGATTATTAAGGGCAATAACTCCTAAAGGGGTCGACTGACAATTTTGGTCATGACAACTTATTTGTAGATCTTACTTTGCTGAACATTATTGCTGTTTACAGTTTATCTCTATCTATAATAATATTCAAGATAATAACCAATAAAATGCTACGCTGGGGCGCAGCTTGATACGACCGCAGAGGTCGAACCCTGAACAGTTGGGGCAAGTATGGACACAACATTCAAGCTTGATACAGCTCTGAATTTGGATTGTTATTAAATATTTGACACAGCATAGGTTTCTGACACAGAAAGAATGTGGTCTAAGAACTTGAATTTTTTTAATTTACCTATTATGGTCCAATGTCCAAAATCAAAATACATGGTTAGATTCAGCATATCAAAGAACCCCATATATTCAATTTTTGTTAAAATCAAACAAAGTTTAATTTTGGACCCCAACTTGGACAAACTTGAAAACTGGGCCCATAATCAAAAATCTAAACACATGTTTAGATTCAGCATATCAAAGAACCCCAAGAATTCAATTTTTGCTAAAATCAAACTAAGTTTAATTTTGGACCCTTTGGACCTTAAATGTAGACCAATTTAAAAAACGGGACTTAAAATTAAAAATCTAAATACACGGTTAGATTTGGAATATCAAAGAACCCCAATAATTCAATTTTTGATGAAATCAAACAAAGTTTAATTTTGGACCCTTTTGACCTCAATATGAAGCAATTTGATAGCGGGGCCCACAAATAAAAAATCTAAATTCATGGTTAGATTCAGCATATCAAAGAACCCCATATATTCAATTTTGGTTGAAATCAAAAAAAGTTTAATTTTGGACCCCAACTTGGACCAACTTGAAAACTGGGCCCATAATCAAAAATCTAAACACATGTTTAGATTCAGCATATCAAAGAACCCCAAGAATTCAATTTTTGTTAAAATCAAACTAAGTTTAATTTTGGACCCTTTGGACCTCAATGAAGACCAATTTAAAAAACGGGACCCAAATTAAAAATACGGTTAGATTTGGCATATCAAAGAACCCCAATAATTCAATTTTCGATGAAATCAAACAAAGTTTAATTTTGGACCCTTTTGACCTCAATATGAACCAATTTGACAGCGGGGCCTACAAATAAAAAATCTAAATACATGGTTAGATTCGGCATATCAAAGAACCTCATATATTCAATTTTTGTTGAAATCAAACAACGTTTAATTTTGGACCCCAATTTGGACCAACTTGAAAACTGGGCCCATAATCAAAAATCTAAATACATGTTTAGATTCAGCATATCAAAGAACCCCATATATTCAATTTTTGTTGAAATCAAACAAAGTTTAAATACTGGACCCTATCTTGGACCAACTTGAAAACTGGGCCCATAATCAAAAATCTAAACACATGTTTAGATTCAGCAAATCAAAGAACCCCAAGAATTCAATTTTTGTCAAAATCAAACTAAGTTTAATTTTGGACCCTTTGGACCTCAATGTAGACCAATTTAAAAAACAGGACCTAAAATTAAAAACCTAAATACACGGTTAGATTTGGAATATCAAAGAACCCCAATAATTCAATTTTAGATGAAATCAAACAAAGTTTAATTTTGGACCCTTTTGACCTCAATAATAACCAATTAGATAACGGGGTCCACAAATAAAAAATCTAAATACATGGTTAGATTCAGCATATCAAAGAACCCCATATATTCAATTTTTGTTGAAATCAAACAAAGTTTAATTTTGGACCCCAATTTGGACCAACTTGAAAACTGGGCCAAAAATCAAAAATCTAAATACATGTTTAGATTCAGCATATCAAAGAACCTCATATATTCAATTTTTGCTAAAATCAAACAAAGTTTAATTTTGGACCCTTTGGACATTAATGTAGACCAATTTGAAAACTGGACCCAAAATTAAAAATCTAAATACACTGTTAGATTCGGCATAACAAATAAATAAATGTGATCAAAGATTTTACAAATCTAATGCGCCATACTGTGCAATTAAAGATTACTTCTTGAAATTTTTCAATATTTGAAATTTGAAAAAAAAATAATATTTGAAGAATAATTCTTTTTAATTTCTGAAATCTGAAATGAGAAAAAATTGGCCCCCCACAATTTCTTTTTATCCCCCCCCCTTTTTCCCCCAAAAAAATTCTTTCCCTCAAGATATGGTCATAATCTCAATTCAAATTTCCAATGGAGTTGGCAACCATAATTACCCATTTAAATTTACCATAGTGCTAACTTAATCTATTTTATAATAGAATTAATAAAAATATAGTGTCAAATCTTTCATATGGATTTTTTTGTAAAAAAAAAAGATGAAAACATTTGCAGATATTTTTACTGGTCTTCCTTTATAAATATGCATTTCTTTAAACATAATTTAAAAGCAGTGTAAGGGAAGTAACCAAAACGTTGTATTTGGATTACCTCCCTTACACTGTTTTAGATTATCTTTATTGTTCATTAACCATTACTTTATACATAATTTAAAAGCAGTGTAAGGGAGATAATTTCAATGATGTATTTGATTTATCTCCCTTACACTGCTTTAAATTATGTTTTGTACTAAAGTATTTGTCCATTAACCAGGACAACCTTGTTTTTCCCCCTTTTTTGCCCCTAATTCCTAAACGGTTTGAGCCATAACCCCCCAAAGCAAATCCTCACCATCCCTTTTTGGTATGGAAACTTGTAGTATAATTTCAGAGAGATCCATAGACCGTTCCACAGTTATTGTCTGGAAACTAGAAAATGCTCATTTATGGCCCCTTTTTGGCCCCTAATTCCTTAACTGTTGGTACCATAACCCCCAAAATCAATCCCAACCTTCCTTTTGTGGTATTTAACCTTATGGTCAAATTTCAAAAAGATCCATTCACTTAAACTAAAGTTAGAGTGCGAAAACCAATATGTATTCGGACGACGACGACGACGCCAACGTCATACCAATATACGACCACAAAATTTTTTTGCGGTCGTATAAAAACTGCAAAATTTCCTTAAAATTACCAATTCAGGGGCAGCAACCCAACAACAGGTTGTCAGATTTGTCTGAAAATTTCAGGGCAGATAGATCTTGACCTGATAATAAGTTTTACCCTATGTCAGATTTCCTCTAAATGCTTTGGTTTCAGAGATATAAGCCAAAATCTACATTTTACCCCTATGTTCTATTTTTAGCCATGGCGGCCATCTTGGTTGGTTGGCGGGGTCATCAGACACATTTTTTAAACTAGATACCCTAATGATGATTGTGGCCAAGTTTGGTTAAATTTGGCCCAGTGGTTTCAGAGCAGAAGATTTTTGTAAAAAGCTAATGACGACGGACGACAACGACGACGACGACGAAGACGCCGACGACGGACGCCAAGTGATGAGAAAAGCTCACTTGAAAGTGCCCTTCGGGTCAGGTGAGCTAAAAAAGCTTATTTTTGGCCCCTTTTTGGCCCCAAATTCCTTAACTGTTGGTACCATAACCCCCAAAATCAACCCCAACCTTCCTTTTGTGGTATTAAACCTTATGGTTAAATTTCATAGAGATCCATTCACTAAAACTAAAGTTAGAGTGCGAAAACCAATGTGTGTTCAGACGACGATGACGCCGACAATGACAACAACGATGACGACAACGATGACGCCAACGTCATACCAATATACGACCACAAAATTTTTTTTGCGTTCGTATAAAAACCGCAAAATTTCTGTAAAATTACTTACTCAGGGGCAGCAACCCAACAACGGGTTGTCGGATTCGTCTGAAAATTTCAGGGCAGATACATCTAAATCTGATGAACATTTATGCCGCCTGTCAGATTTGCTCTAAATGCTTTAGTTTCAGAGATATAAACCAAAAAATGCATTTTACCCCTATGTTCTATTTTAACCATGTTGGCCATGATGGTTGGAAGGCGGGGTCATTGGACAAATTTTTTAAACTAGATACCCTAATAATGATTATGGCCAAGTATGGTTAAATTTGTCTCAGAAGTTTCAGAGAAGAAGATTTTTGTAAAAAATTACAAAAATTTACGAAAATTTTTTAAAATTGACTATAAAGGCCAATTACTCCTAAAGGGGTCGACTGACAATTTTGGTCATGACAACTTATTTGTAGATCTTACTTTTGCTGAACATTATTGCTGTTTACAGTTTATCTCTATCTATAATAATATTCAAGATAATAACCAATAAAATGCTTCACTGGGCGCAGCTTGATACGACCGCAGAGGTCGAACCCTGAACAGTTGGGGCAAGTATGGACACAACATTCAAGCTTGATACAACTCTGAATTTGGATTGTGATTAAATATTTGACACCGCATAGGTTTCTGACACAGAAAGAATGTGAACTTGAATTTTTTTAATTTACCTATTATGGTCCAATGTCCAAAATCAAAATACATGGTTAGATTCAGCATATCAAAGAACCTCATATATTCAATTTTTGTTGAAATCAAAAAAAGTTTAATTTTGGACCCCAACTTGGACCAACTTGAAAACTGGGCCCATAATCAAAAATCTAAACACATGTTTAGATTCAGCATATCAAAGAACCCCAAGAATTCAATTTTTGTTAAAATCAAACTAAGTTTAATTTTGGACCCTTTGGACCTTAATGTAGTCCAATTTAAAAAACAGGACCCAAAATTAAAAATCTAAATACACGGTTAGATTTGGCATATCAAAGAACCCCAATAATTCAATTTTTGATGAAATCAAACGAAGTTTAATTTTGGACCCTTTTGACCTCAATATGAACCAATTTGATAGCGGGGTCCACAAATAAAAAATCTAAATACATGGTTAGATTCAGCATATCAAAGAACCCCATATATTCAATTTTGGTTGAAATCAAACAAAGTTTAATTTTGGACCCCAATTTGGACCAACTTGAAAACTGGGCCAAAAATCAAAAATCTAAATATATGTTTAGATTCAGCATATCAAAGAACCCCATATATTCAATTTTTGTTAAAATCAAACAAAGTTTAATTTTGGACCCTTTGGACCTTAATGTAGACCAATTTGAAAACTGGACCAAAAATTAAAAATCTAAATACACGGTTAGATTCGGCATAACAAATAAATAAATGTGGTCAAAGATTTTACAAAACTTATGCGCCATACTGTGCAATTAAAGATTACTTCTTGAAATTTTTCAATATTTGAAATTTGAAAAAAAAATAATATTTGAAGAATAATTCTTTTTAATTTCTGAAATCTGAAATGAGAAAAAATTGACCCCCCACAATTTCTTTTTACCCTCCCCCCCCCCTTTTTTCCCCCAAAAAATTCTTTCACTCAAGATATGGTCATAATCTCAATTCAAATTTCCAATGGAGTTTGCAACCATAATTACCCATTTAAATTTACCATAGTGCTAACTTAATCTATTTTATAATAGAATTTAAAATATAGTGTCAAATCTTTCATATGGATATTTTTGTAAAAAAAAAAGATGCAACATTTGCAGATATTTTTACTGGTCTTCCTTTATAAATATGCATTTCTTTAAACATAATTTAAAAGCAGTGTAAGGGAAGTAACCAAAACATTGTATTTGGATTACCTCCCTTACACTGTTTTAAATTATCTTAATTGTTCATTAACCATTACTTTATACATAATTTAAAAGCAGTGCAAGGGAGATAATTTCAATGATGTATTTGATTTATCTCCCTTACACTGCATTAAATTATGTTTTGTACTAAAGTATTTGTCCATTAACCAGGACAACCTTGTTTTTCCCCCTTTTTTGCCCCTAATTCTTAAACGGTTTGAGCCATAAACCCCCAAAGCAAATCCTAACCATCCCTTTGTGGTATGGAAACTTGTAGTATAATTGCAGAGAGATCCATACACCATTCCACAGTTATTGTCTGGAAACTAGAAAATGCTTATTTTTGGCCCCTAACTCCTTAACTGTTGGTACCATAACCCCCAAAATCAATCCCCACCTTCCTTTTGTGGTATTGAACCTTATGGTAAAATTTCAAAGAGATCCATTCACTTAAACTAAAGTTAGAGTGCGAAAACCAATGTGTCTTCGGATGACGACGACGAAAATTTTTTGCGGTCGTATAAAAACTGCAAAATTTCCTTAAAATTACCAATTCAGGGGCAGCAACCCAACAATGGGTTGTCAGATTTGTCTGAAAATTTCAGGGCAGATAGATCTTGACCTGATAATCAGTTTTACCCTATGTCAGATTTACTCTAAATGCTTTGGTTTCAGAGATATAAGCCAAAATCTACATTTTACCCCTATGTTCTTAGCCATGGCGGCCATCTTGGTTGGTTAGCGGGGTCATCGGACACATTTTTTAAACTAGATACCCTAATGATGATTGTGGCCAAGTTTGGTTAAATTTGGCCGAGTGATTTCAGAGGAGAAGATTTTTGTAAAAACTAACGTCGACGGACTACAACGACAAAAAACGACGGATGACGGACGGCAAGTGATGAGAAAAGCCCACTTGGCCCTTCAGGCCAGGTGAGCCAAAAATGCTTGTTATTTGCCCCTTTTTGGCCCCCAATTCCTAAAATTTTGAGGCAATTACCCCCAAAATCCATCCCAGCCTTCCCTTTGTGGTATGGTACAATTTCAGAGAGATCCATACACTTGAACACAAGTTATTGTCTGGAAACTAGAACAAGAGGCTCTCAAGAGCCTGAATCGCTCACCTGTATTTCAGAGAAGATTTTTAAATATTAGCAAACTTGATGAACAAATTGTGTAAAATTGTCTTTAAACAGCAATAACTCCTTAAGGGGTCAATTGACAATTATGGTCATATTAACTTTTTTGTAGATCTTACTTTGCTGAACATTATTGCTGCTTACAGTTTATATATATCTATAATAATATTCAAAATAATAACAAATAAAATGCTCCGCAGGGTGCAGCTTGATACGACCGCAGAGGTCGAACCCTGAACAGTTTTGGGAAGTATGGACACAACATTCAAGCTTGATACAGCTTTGGATTTGGATTGTGATTAAATATTTGACACAGCATAGGTTTCTAACACAGATTGAATGTGGTCTAAGAACTTAAAAATTTTAAATTGGACATTCACCTATTATGGTCCAATATCCAAAATCTAAATACATGGTTAGATTCAGCATATCAAAGAACCCCAAGAATTCAATTTTTGATGAAATCAAACAAAGTTTAATTTTGGACCCTTTTGACCTCAATGTGGAAAAAGTTGATAACGGGGCCCAAAAATCAAAAATCTAAATACATGGTTAGATTCAGCATTTCAAAGAACCCCATATATTCAATTTTTGTTGAAATCAAACAAAGTTTAATTTTGGACCCCGATTTGGACCAACTTGAAAACTGGGCCCATAATCAAAAATCTAAATACATGTTTAGATTCAGCATATCAAAGAACCCTAAGAATTCAATTTTTGTTAAAATCAAACTAAGTTTAATTTTGGACCCTTTGGACCTTAATGTAGACCAATTTGAAAACGGAACCAAAAATTAAGAATCTAAATACACAGTTAGATTCGGCATATCAAAGAACCCCAATAATTCAATTTTTGATGAAATCAAACAAAGTTTAATTTTGGACCCTTTTGACCTCAATGTGGACAAAGTTGATAACGGGGCCCAAAAATCAAAAATCTAAATACATGGTTAGATTCAGCATATCAAAGAACCCCATATATTCAATTTTTGTTGAAATCAAACAAAGTTTAATTTTGGACCCCGATTTGGACCAACTTGAAAACTAGGCCCATAATCAAAAATCTAAATACATGTTTAGATTCAGCATATCAAAGAACCCTAAGAATTCAATTTTTGTTAAAATCAAACTAAGTTTAATTTTGGACCCTTTGGACCTTAATGTAGACCAATTTGAAAACAGAACCAAAATTTAAGAATCTAAATACACAGTTAGATTCGGCATATCAAAGAACCCAATAATTCAATTTTTGATGAAATCAAACAAAGTTTAATTTTGGACCCTTTTGACCTCAATGTGGACAAAGTTGATAACGGGGCCCAAAAATCAAAAATCTAAATACATGGTTAGATTCAGCATATCAAAGAACCCCATATATTCAATTTTTGTTGAAATCAAACAAAGTTTAATTTTGGACCCCGATTTGGACCAACTTGAAAACTGGGCCCATAATCAAAAATCTAAATACATGTTTAGATTCAGCATATCAAAGAACCCTAAGAATTCAATTTTTGTTAAAATCAAACTAAGTTTAATTTTGGACCCTTTGGACCTTAATGTAGACCAATTTGAAAACGGAACCAAAAATTAAGAATCTAAATACACAGTTAGATTCGGCATATCAAAGAACCCCAATAATTCAATTTTTGATGAAATCAAACAAAGTTTAATTTTGGACCCTTTTGACCTCAATGTGGACAAAGTTGATAACGGGGCCCAAAAATCAAAAATCTAAATACATGGTTAGATTCAGCATATCAAAGAACCCCATATATTCAATTTTTGTTGAAATCAAACAAAGTTTAATTTTGGACCCCGATTTGGACCAACTTGAAAACTAGGCCCATAATCAAAAATCTAAATACATGTTTAGATTCAGCATATCAAAGAACCCTAAGAATTCAATTTTTGTTAAAATCAAACTAAGTTTAATTTTGGACCCTTTGGACCTTAATGTAGACCAATTTGAAAACAGAACCAAAATTTAAGAATCTAAATACACAGTTAGATTCGGCATATCAAAGAACCCAATAATTCAATTTTTGATGAAATCAAACAAAGTTTAATTTTGGACCCTTTTGACCTCAATGTGGACAAAGTTGATAACGGGGCCCAAAAATCAAAAATCTAAATACATGGTTAGATTCAGCATATCAAAGAACCCCATATATTCAATTTTTGTTGAAATCAAACAAAGTTTAATTTTGGACCCCGATTTGGACCAACTTGAAAACTGGGCCCATAATCAAAAATCTAAATACATGTTTAGATTCAGCATATCAAAGAACCCTAAGAATTCAATTTTTGTTAAAATCAAACTCAGTTTAATTTTGGACCCTTTGGACCTTAATGTAGACCAATTTGAAAACGGAACCAAAATTTAAGAATCTAAATACACAGTTAGATTCGGCATATCAAAGAACCCCAATAATTCAATTTTTGATGAAATCAAACAAAGTTTAATTTTGGACCCTTTGGACCTCAATGTGGACCAATTTAAAAACGGGGCCCAAAATCCAAAAACTAAATACACGGTTAGATTCAGCATATTAAAGAACCCCATGAAATCAAGAATAAAACCCCATTGAAATTGGTCAAGAAATAAGCAATTTATAGGAAGTATCTTCTTTTGCACAATCCTGTGCTATTAAATATTTCTTGCTATTGCGCAATACTGTACAATTGACAATTTCTTGCTATTGCGCAATATTGTGCTATTGGATATTTCTTGCTATTGCGCAATACTGTACATGTGCAATTGAAGATTTCTTGCTATTGCGCAATACTGTGCAATTGAAGATTTCTTGCTATTGTGCAATACTGTGCAATTGAAAATTTCTTGCTATTGCACAATACTTATTATATAATAATTTACACATCCTGTTTGGTGTGTATCTCCTACCATATCATTATTATTTGATTTTAAATATAAATCAGAAATAACCAACTTAAAATGGAAAATTTTAAAAGAAACAAAAAAGGAAAAAAAGAAAAAAAAGGAAAAAAAAATAAATCCCCCCCCAAAATTTTTTGAACCCCCATTATGATTCATCACCCCAAAACTCAATCCCAGCCTTCCCTTTGTGGTATGGTACCTTGCAGTACAATTTCAGAGAGATCCATACACTTGAACACAAGTTATTGTCTGGAAACTAGAAAAAAATGTGTTTTTTGGCCCCTTTTTGGCCCCAAATTCCTAAACGTTTAGGGCAATTACCCCCAAACTCAAACCCAGCTTTCCCTTTGTGATATGGAACCTTGTAGTACAATTTCAGAAAGATCCATACACTTACACACAAGTTATTGTCATGAAACTAGAAAAATGCTTGTTTTTTGCCCCTTTTTTGGCCCCTAATTCCTAAAATTTGGAGGCAATTACCCCCAAAATCAATCCCAGCATTCCTTTAGTGATATGGAACCTTGTGGTACAATGTCAGAGAGATCCATACACTAACACACAAGTTATGTCTGGAAGTTACAAAAATGCTTATTTTTGGCCCCTTTTTGGCCCCTTTTTCCTTAACTGTTGGTACCCTAACCCCCAAAATCGATCCCAACCTTCCTTTTGTGGTATTGAAGCTTATGGTAAAATTTCATAGAGATCCATTTACTTAAACTAAATTTCTTGTGCGAAAACCAATGTATCTTCGGACGACGACGATGACGACAACGACATCAATGCCAACGTCATAAAAAATTTGATAGTGCACTATTATAAGTAGACAGTTGCATTTACTGCGAATTTTTTTTAGAAAGATAAGCACTTTTTCAGTAGATAAAATTAGCTAACAATGGGTCCCCTAATATGTATAACAACTTTTTTTAAATTGTAACTTCATACTTTAATCAAATAATGTATACAGTTTCAAGTGTAAAGTGTAAATTTTTCTAAACAGAAAAAAATTTAAAAATTAGATTCTTCTTATAAATCAATTATCCTTAGCTTGTAGGGCTTATAGATGAAGAGAATTGAAACTTGTCACCCAAAATAACCAATAAATGTTGTTTTGGGTGCATTTGCAAATTCAAACAAAGGTATACTATTGTTCTCCTCTAAGGATTGCTTATTGATTTTGAAAACAATTATATAACACTTAAGATTAATAGTTACAGAGTGGCATATGGTAATTTTCATTTCCATAAACTTACTTTTAAGTCTTTATTCTATTGTCCAAAGATTGAGAATTGTTTCATATTGAGGCATATTTCTTTTACATAAGGTGAACTGATTTTTGCATTTTTTTTTCTTAACATTTGTTATTGATTTGATATGGATATGGATGGAAAGAGGATTTTTAAAGGTTGGTGTAGTGTATATCTTTGGAATTTATAATTTCATATTTTCCAGAAGGAGACATTGAACATGTTCTTTTTCATCAACAAAAAATCAAATAACTATTTTGACTGAAATGGGGGTTCTTTTTCATTTAAAAAAAAACACTTCCTGCATTATAATATACAAATACCTTATACTGTTAAAAGCAATATAATAAGGGAAAAAAACAAAAATGTTACTGCAGCTAATGAATTTGCTCAGGTTAAGAGCTTTCATAGTTTTCTTATTGGATTTGATATTGCTGATCATTTTTTCTGTTTAGTTTCTTTCTATCTTCTTTAGTTTTTGCTCAAAACACAAAAGAAGGTAAAAAAAATCCTCATTGAAGGGCAATCAATCCTATGAAGAGTGACAGTCTACTAACTATATTGGCCAAATTTGACTTGTTGGTGGATCGTGCCTTGCTGATCATTTTTTAATTTAAAGTTTCTATCTATCTATTATAATTTTTATCATATAAGGCAAAACACAAAAAAATTGGTAAAAAACTTTATTAAAGGGCAATAACTCCAATAACTCCATTTACTTAAACTAAAGTTAGAGTGCGAAAACCAATGTGTCTTCGGACGACGACGACAACGACACCAATGTCATACCAATATACGACCGCAAAAATTTTTTTTGCAGTCGTATAAAAATTGCGGTTTTTATCCAACGCAATCATAGGTTTGAACGTTATTTTCAATTTAGACTTGTATATATATATATAGAATGAAATTGTATCCTATATAGAACATTAACTTAACTTTCTTTCTGTTGGCAATTGGATAATTTGTTTTCACATAAAACTTAAATAAGGTCATCTTGAAAATGTGTGTTTCAAACTGTTTAAAGCTATTTCAGAAATAACATTTTATATATATATATCTTTGATTCTTTACATTTCCAAACACAGAAAAATTAATCAAAATGTAAAATGTGCATATATATTAATATATTTTTGAAGCCATAGTAACGGTTGCCATGGTAAATTTAAATAATTCACAAAAAGACAAAGTATATTATTCTGACAATTATTCATAGAACGTCCTTTTGAATATTTTATATATAAGAAGGTTTCTTTTTTAAAGTTGACAACTATAATACGTGACTTTAAGAAAGAATATCCTGTCTATCATTATGAAAATATATATTCTTGATAAATTTATTTTGATTTGAAGTTTATTTTTATTTTCACATGCAATTAGATCTAAACAAATGTGTGTATTTAATGCTTCATTCCTAAAACCTATAGGGGTGTTAAGTCAATTTTCTGTGTCACAAGCTAGAAAATATCATGTACTTAAAGTAGCTATTTGCAATTGGCATATGAAAAAATTGATGAAGATAATCAACACTTTTGATATGGTGAGTATTTTTATCAAATAAACCAGTGGTTAGGACAAATGATATGTTGGCGAAAAGCTTTATAAGAAATTATGTCTGAAAAATAAAGGAAACTAGAGCATTTAGCTTTTTCATAAATTTTTCTTGGGACAATGTTGAGAAAATCAGTTTAAGAAAGGGGTTGCCACCCTAGATTTACACTTAGCGAGAGAAAAAATCTTTTTCTAGCAAAATTTTGATATGTCAGCTGTTTATATAATTTATTTTTTGGATAACTGAGATTGAAAGCTTAAGGTCTCCCTTAGTTTACTTAATTTTAATTGTAGGAAATCAACTTAGATATCTAAAGTTATATTACACCTTTTTAATTCAAATCATAGAGTAATATTTCATAAAATTAGATTTACATACTAGGAACTTAATACAAGTGTATTGAAAATTTAGTAACTTCACTTTTTTCATTTAAGGGCACATTTCATGTGAAACATTGGTGGTAGATAATTCAAATGGTGTTTATTACTTTCTGCAAGAAATTCAGACATCTATGGTTTTATCATATGCCTTACATTCAGAATAAAGCCCCCTCTAAAATTCTGGGGTGATGACATAGAGGCAATATTGGCTGAAAACTACAATGCACTCTTGCTATAAATTGTCATTTTTGAAACACTACTTTTTAAGAAATGGAATCAAAATTTCACAAAGACATGTTATATCGTGTATATGTTAGATTACCTGTAAGAAGAGCAACACTTTTAAACACTTTGTTCATCTTGAGTTTCCTGAGTAAAATGACTAGAAAATTGTCCTCAGTCAGATGGGTTATGTCTGATGTACATTGATCATACACAACTATATCACTGTACTCTTCTATTTCAATGTGACATAACTGGGCCATTAATTCCTTGATGCTTATCTAAAATCATAAAATTAAAAAATCATTTAGATCATCAGTAACCTTTTTTAATTGATACATTGTATTACACTTAGCAGATTTCAAAACTTACAGTCAGGAAACAGGAAGTTAACAATGCAAACGCTCTACAAACTTGTACTCCTTCGCATTGTCATAATTCTATGGTCATTCAGTGTTCTCCCCAGGGCCTTTTAGCATCATGGTAATGTGATGCTATATTTCTTGAATGTGATGCTATCTGAATTGGTTTTATATAGATTATGTTATGGATGTGATGCTATAATATTTAGAAACAAGATGGTATTTCAAATTTCCCTGTTTACCAGGATGCTAAATGAAATGTCTGGGAAGAACACTGGTCATTATAGCTGAAGACACAGAAAAAATCTTATGCGGTCAGTGATGTTGTATACAAGATTCCTTAGGAAGGCTATTTAAAGATTTAAGATGGATCTTCTACTGATTTTCAGAAATAAATTTTACAAAGAAACAGTATTAAAAGAATGACATGCAATTGACAGTCTTGCTAAAAATATATATAATTCCTGGATATCAGAGCCTAAGGTGGAATATCTAACTTATTTGGAATAATCTTACATGTGTTAGAAAAAATAGAAGAAGATTGATTGATTGTTTGGTATTTAATGCCACTTTCAACACTATTGTGATATTTTGTGGTGGCCAGTTTTTATTGTTGGAGGAATCCAGAGTGCCCGGAGAGAACCACGACCTTCGGTAGGAAAACTGACAATCCTGTCAATTAAGATTGGAGTTGAGTGCACCTGCCCCTTGCGAGATTCGAACTCACAACCTCAGTGTTGACAGGTTAGTGAAACAGTAGTTTAATTACTTAAACCACTTGGCCACCTAGGCCCCAGAAGAAGATTGAAGGCTACCAAAAAAGTGAGGAGTCAAGAGACAAAAATAACTGGGACCTACGCAAAAATGAAAAAAAAACAAAACAGAAAACATATATAACAAATAAATAGACCATTGCATTTTGTCCTATCAAGGCTGTGAATGTGAAGCAATAAAAAAATTGTATATCTATTTTCAAATTATAATCAAATATAATTAATAGTTCCAAAAATTTTTTCTTTCATTTGTCACAAACTAATATACATCTGCAACTTTTCTATCAAGGTCAACTTTATCAACACAATGTAATGTAATGAAATATATCCTTTAATAAAAATAGATTATTATCTATTTAAAGGAGTTCACTTCATAAATTTTTTTTATATATATAGCATTCAGAAAATTAGTTTATACAGAATAACAAACAAACCTACCACAAAATTCTTCCAACAATTTACCAAAGAAAAGAAAAATAAAATGCTTCGCTGGGGCGCAGCTTGATACGACCGCAGAGGTCGAACCCTGAACAGTTGGGGCAAGTATGGACACAACATTCAAGCTTGATACAGCTCTGAATTTGGATTGTTATTAAATATTTGACACAGCATAGGTTTCTGACACAGAAAGAATGTGGTCTAAGAACTTGAATTTTTTTAATTTACCTATTATGGTCCAATGTCCAAAATCAAAATACATGGTTAGATTCAGCATATCAAAGAACCCCATATATTCAATTTTTGTTGAAATCAAACAAAATTTAATTTTGGACCCCAACTTGGACAAACTTGAAAGTTTAATTTTGGACCCCAACTTGGACAAACTTGAAAACTGGGCCCATAATCAAAAATCTAAACACATGTTTAGATTCAGCATATCAAAGAACCCCAAGAATTCAATTTTTGCTAAATTCAAACTAAGTTTAATTTTGGACCCTTTGGACCTTAATGTAGACCAATTTAAAAAACGGGACTTAAAATTAAAAATCTAAATACACGGTTAGATTTGGAATATCAAAGAACCCCAAGAATTCAATTTTTGCTAAAATCAAACTAAGTTTAATTTTGGACCCTTTGGACCTTAATGTAGACCAATTTAAAAAACGGGACTTAAAATTAAAAATCTAAATACACGGTTAGATTTGGAATATCAAAGAACCCCAATAATTCAATTTTTGATGAAATCAAACAAAGTTTAATTTTGGACCCTTTTGACCTCAATATGAACCAATTTGATAGCGGGGCCCACAAATAAAAAATATAAATTCATGGTTAGATTCAGCATATCAAAGAACCCCATATATTCAATTTTTGTTGAAATCAAAAAAAGTTTAATTTTGGACCCCAACTTGGACAAACTTGAAAACTGGGCCCATAATCAAAAATCTAAACACATGTTTAGATTCAGCATATCAAAGAACCCCAAGAATTCAATTTTTGCTAAAATCAAACTAAGTTTAATTTTGGACCCTTTGGACCTTAATGTAGACCAATTTAAAAAACGGGACTTAAAATTAAAAATCTAAATACACGGTTAGATTTGGAATATCAAAGAACCCCAATAATTCAATTTTTGATGATATCAAACAAAGTTTAATTTTGGACCCTTTTGACCTCAATATGAACCAATTTGATAACGGGGCCCACAAATAAAAAATCTAAATACATGGTTAGATTCAGCATATCAAAGAACCTCATATATTCAATTTTTGTTGAAATCAAACAAAGTTTAATTTTGGACCCCAATTTGGACAAACTTGAAAACTGGGCCCATAATCAAAAATCTAAATACATGTTTAGATTCAGCATATCAAAGAACCCCATATATTCAATTTTTGTTGAAATCAAACAAAGTTTAAATACTGGACCCTATCTTGGACCAACTTGAAAACTGGGCCCATAATCAAAAATCTAAACACATGTTTAGATTCAGCATATCAAAGAACCCCAAGAATTCAATTTTTGTTAATATCAAACTAAGTTTAATTTTGGACCCTTTGGACCTTAATGTAGACCAAATTAAAAAACAGGACCCAAAATTAAAAATCTAAATACACGGTTAGATTTGGAATATCAAAGAACCCCAATAATTCAATTTTAGATGAAATCAAACAAAGTTTAATTTTGGCCCCTTTTGACCTCAATATGAACCAATTTGATAACGGGGTCCACAAATAAAAAATCTAAATACATGGTTAGATTCAGCATATCAAAGAACCCCATATATTCAATTTTTGTTGAAATCAAACAAAGTTTAATTTTGGACCCCAATTTAGACCAACTTGAAAACTGGGCCAAAAATAAAAAATCTAAATACATGTTTAGATTCAGCATATCAAAGAACCTCATATATTCAATTTTTGCTGAAATCAAACAAAGTTTAATTTTGGACCCTTTGGACCTTAATGTAGACCAATTTGAAAACTGGACCCAAAATTAAAAATCTAAATACACTGTTAGATTCGGCATAACAAATAAATAAATGTGATCAAAGTTTTTAATAAAATGCTCCGCTGGGGCGCAGCTTGATACGACCGCAGAGGTCGAACCCTGAACAGTTGGGGCAAGTATGGACACAACATTCAAGCTTGATACAGCTCTGAATTTGGATTGTGATTAAATATTTGACACAGCATAGGTTTCTGACACAGAATGAATGTGGTCTAAGAACTTAAAAATTTTTAATTGGACATTCACCTATTATGGTCCAATATCCAAAATCTAAATACATGGTTAGATTCAGCATATCAAAGAACCCCAAGAATTCAATTTTTGATGAAATCAAACAAAGTTTAATTTTGGACCCTTTTGACCTCAATGTGGACAAAGTTGATAACAGGGCCCAAAAATCAAAAATCTAAATACATGGTTAGATTCAGCATATCAAAGAACCCCATATATTCAATTTTTGTTGAAATCAAACAAAGTTTAATTTTGGACCCCGATTTGGACCAACTTGAAAACTGGGCCCATAATCAAAAATCTAAATACATGTTTAGATTCAGCATATCAAAGAACCCTAAAAATTAAATTTTTGTTAAAATCAAACTAAGTTTAATTTTGGACCCTTTGGACCATAATGTAGACCAATTTGAAAACGGAACCAAAAATTAAGAATCTAAATACACGGTTAGATTCGGCATATCAAAGAACCCCAATAATTCAATTTTTGATGAAATCAAACAAAATTAAATTTTGGACCCTTTGGACCTCAATGTGGACCAATTTAAAAACGGGGCCCAAAATCCAAAAACTTAATACACGGTTAGATTCAGCATATTAAAGAACCCCAAGAATTCAAGAATAAAACCCCATTGAAATTGATCAAGAAATAAGCAATTTATACAAAGTATCTTCTTTTGCACAATACTGTGCAATTGAATATTTCTTGCTATTGCGCAATACTGTACAATTGACAATTTCTTGCTATTGCGCAATATTGTGCTATTGGATATTTCTTGCTATTGCCCAATACTGTGCAATTGAAGATTTCTTGCTATTGCGCAATACTGTGCAATTGAAGATTTCTTGCTATTGTGCAATACTGTGCAATTGAAAATTTCTTGCTATTGCACAATACTTATTATATAATAATTTATACATCCTGTTTGGTGTGTATCTTCTACCATATCATTATTATTTGCTTTTAAATATAAATCAGAAATAACCAACTTAAAATGGAAAATTTTAAAAGAAAAAAAAAAGGAAAAAAAAAAAAGAAAAAAAAAAAATCCCCCCCCCCCAAATTTTTTGAACCCCCTTATGATTCATCACCCCCAAACTCAATCCCAGCCTTCCCTTTGTGGTATGGTACCTTGCAGTACAATTTCAGAGAGATCCATACACTTGAACACAAGTTATTGTCTGGAAACTAGAAAAATGTGTTTTTTGGCCCCTTTTTGGCCCCCAATTCCTAAACGTTTAGGGCAATTACCCCCAAACTCAATTCCAGCTTTCCCTTTGTGATATGGAACCTTGTAGTACAATTTCAGAAATATCCAAACACTTACACACAAGTTATTGTCATGAAACTAGAAAAATGCTTGTTTTTTGCCCCTTTTTTGGCCCCCAATTCCTAAAATTTTGAGGCAATTACATCCAAAATCAATTACAGCCTTCCCTTTGTGATATGGAACCTTGTGGTACAATGTCAGAGAGATCCATACACTTACACACAAGTTATTGTCTGGAAGTTACAAAAATGCTTATTTTTGGCCTCTTTTTGGCCCCTAATTCCTTAACTGTTGGTACCATAACCCCCAAAATCAATCCCAACCTTCCTTTCGTGGTATAAAACATAATGGTAAAATTTCATGGAGATCCATTTTCCTAAACTAAAATTAGAGTGCGAAAACCAATGTGTCTTCGGACGACGCCGGACAACGCCAGACGACGACGACGACGACAACGACGCCAACGTCAAACCAATATACGACCAAAAATTTTTTAATTTTTGCGGTTGTAGAAAAATCTAATGCGCCATACTGTGCAATTAAAGATTACTTCTTGAAATTTTTCAATATTTGAAATTTGAAAAAAAAATAATATTTGAAGAATAATTCTTTTTAATTTCTGAAATCTGAAATGAGAAAAAAAATGACCCCCCACAATTTCTTTTTATCCCCCCCACCTTTTTTCCCCCAAAAAATTCTTTCCCTCAAGATATGGTCATAATCTCAATTCAAATTTCCAATAGAGTTGGCAACCATAATTACCCATTTAAATTTACCATAGTGCTAACTTAATCTATTTTATAATAGAATTAAAAATATAGTGTCAAATCTTTCATATGGATTTTTTTGTAAAAAAAAAAAAGATGCAACATTTGCAGATATTTTTACTGGTCTTCCTTTATAAATATGCATTTCTTTAAACATAATTTAAAAGCAGTGTAAGGGAAGTAACCAAAACATTGTATTTGGATTACCTCCCTTACACTGTTTTAAATTATCTTTATTGTTCATTAACCATTACTTTATACATAATTTAAAAGCAGTGTAAGGGAGATAATTTCAATGATGTATTTGATTTATCTCCCTTACACTGCTTTAAATTATGTTTTGTACTAAAGTATTTGTCCATTAACCAGGACAACCTTGTTTTTCCCCCTTTTTTGCCCCTAATTCCTAAACGGTTTGAGCCATAACCCCCCAAAGCAAATCCTAACCATCCCTTTGTGGTATGGAAACTTGTAGTATAATTTCAGAGAGATCCATACACCGTTGCACAGTTATTGTCTGGAAACTAGAAAATGCTTATTTTTGGCCCCTTTTTGGCCCCTAATTCCTTAACTGTTGGTACCATAACCCCCAAAATCAATCCCAACCTTCCTTTTGTGATATTTAACCTTATGGTCAAATTTCAAAAAGATCCATTCACTTAAACTAAAGTTAGAGTGCGAAAACCAATGTGTCTTCGGACAACGACGACGCCAACGTCATACCAATATACGACCACAAAATTTTTTTGCGGTCATATAAAAAATCAAAAATGACATTTATCATTTATACAATGTCTTTTAAAAATCTTTTAAAAACTGAGTTATTTCCCTTTGTACAGAAATGGATTAATTCATCAAAAATTGAATTCTCGGGAAAGGGCTATAACTGAACAACAAGAAAACCTAAAATCATTAAAATTGAACTTGACCTTCATTTAGTCACAGGAAACAACATATCTAAATTTGAAAAAATTTCTTTAAAGCGTTTTCATGTAAATGAATGGACACTGTTTGGGAGCTGCCCGCCGGCCTGCTGTACTTCCCCAAATCAATAACTGATTTTTACTTCGAAAATCCGGTTAAAAATCTAGAATACTATGTTGAAGTATAGATTCTGCATACTGACGTTGTTTATCATCTTAATAACGTGTTATAGTATTCTTTTATTAATATTATTGTTACTGTTAAGTCCGTTTTTTGTGATATCCATTTGACGTGACTCTGTACTTATGTATCCCGTCATACTTTGAACGACAAAATTATTTTATTTTATGAATATTACTTTTACTGTTAAGTCTGTTTTTTGTGATATCCATTTGACGTGACTCTGTACTTATGTATCCCGTCATACTTTGAACGACAAAATTATTTCATATCTACCTGTGTGACGTCAAACGCGCGATTCTACGCCAGTACTTAAAACCTTCCATCCTTTATGGGTGGATTTTTACATAGATTAAAAAAATTGTATAATAAAAAAGCAAAATGAGGATGTTAAATTTGATGTATGCCTTTTTGTGCTTCTTTGTTACATTTGTTTGTTTTTATAGTGATTAAGATGATAACACAATGTTGACTGCTGTACCCCTATTTATGACATTTTTACCTATTGTGTCTGTTTGTTTTCTTCACGCATCATTGTCAATATAATGGAATTTGATGCGACTGTCATACAAGTGAGAGGTTTAGCTAGCTATAAAATAAAATGCTTCGCTGATACAACCGCAGTGGTCGAACCCTGAACAGTTGGGGCAAATTTGGACACAATATTCAAGCTTGATACTATCTGAATTTGGATTGTGATCAAATTTTTGACATAATATAGGTTTCTGACACAAAATAAATGTGGTCAAAGATCTTACAAATCTAATGCGCAATACTGTGCAATTGAAGATTTCTTCTTGAAACTTTTCAAAAATTTGTGAAATTTTGAAAATTTTGGAAAAAAATATGAACCCTTTTAAAAAAAATTGGAAACCCCCCCCCTTCCCCCCAAACTTTTTGAATCCCCCTTTTAGCATTAACCATCAAACTCAATTGCAGTCTTTCCTTTGTAGTATGGAACCTTGTAGTACAATTTTTTGAGAGATCCATACACTTAATCACAAGTTACTGTCTGGAAACTAGAAAAATGCTTTTTTTTAACCATAAAAGCCCATTTAAATACATCATAAAAGTATTAAAATAGAAAATGACATCATAGTCATGGCTAAAATTAAAACACCTTCATCAGCAACTTTTAATAGTAATATCTAAAAATAAAATTCCTTCATCAGCATTTAAAAGTAACTTCTAAAAATAAATTGACAGCTAAGACTTTGCAACCATAAAAACCCATTTAAATACATCATAAAAGTAATAAAATAGAAAATGACATCATAATCATGCCTTAAATTAAAACACTTTCATCAGCAACATTAATTAGTAACATTAAATAGTAATATCTAAAAATAAAATTCCTTCACATACATAACCATGGCTAAAATTAAATAATTTTTAAAATAGAAAATGACATCATAATCATGCCTAAAATTTGCCAATATGAATTACCTCCCTTACACTGCTTTAAAATTATGTTTTGTACTTAAGTAATTGTACATTAACCTGGAAACCCTTGTTTTCCCCCTCTTTTCCGCCTTATTCCTAAACAGTTTGAGCCATAACCCCCAAAGCAAATTCTTACCATCCCTTTGTGATATGGTAACTTGTGGTATAATTTCAGAGAGATCTATACACCATTTCACAAGTTATTGTCTGGAAACTAGAATAAAATGCTCCGCTGGGGCGCAGCTTGATACGACCGCAGAGGTCGAACCCTGAACAGTTGGGGCAAGTATGGACACAACATTCAAACTTGATACAACACTGAATTTGGATTGTAATTAACTATTTGACACAGCATAGGTTTCTGATACAGAATGAAAGTGGTCTAAGACCTTAAAAAAATTTTTAATTTACCTATTCAAACCATATCATTATTATTTGCTTTTATATATAAATCAGAAATAATCAATTTAAAATAGAAAATTTTAAAGAAAAAAAAGGAAAAAAAAATCCCCCCCAAATTTTTTGAACCCCCTTATGATTCATCACCCCCAAACTCAATCCCAGCCTTCCCTTTGTGGTATGGTACCTTGCAGTACAATTTCAGAGAGATCCATACACTTGAACACAAGTTATTGTCTGGAAACTAGAATAAACTGCTTCGCTGAGCGCAGCTAGATACGCCGTCAGAGGTCCAACCCTGAACAGTTGGGGCAAAAATGGACACAATATTCAAGCTTGATACAGGTCTGAATTTGGATTGTAATTAAATATTTGACATATTATAGGTTTCTGAATAAATGTAGTCAAAGAACTTGAAATTGGTTATATGAATTGAATTTATATTCAATTAAAGATTTCTTGCTGTTGTGCAATACTTAGTAAATCTGTTGTCAGACTATAAACAAATAAAGTTCAATTAATTATCAATGTCATATTAGAAATTTATGAAAATAAAAAGGGAGCTTACATCAATAGATATAAACAGTTCACCAAAGTTTCATGAGAATTGGTGACAGAATTTTTGAGTTATTGCCCGAAAACTGGAAAATCACCCCTTTTTTTAATGAACAAGAGTGCACACGCTGAAATGTCTCGCCTTCTTTACTAATCATTGATATTATGTTGATAGTCCTAAATATAAAGCTTTATTACAACTGCCACATAAACTTAACATTAACCAAGTAAACTAAACATTGACCAATGAACCATGAAAATGAGGTCAAGGTCAGATAAACCATGCAAGGCAGGCATGTACAGCTAACAATTCTTCCATACAACAAATATAGTTGACCTATTGCTTATAGTTTAAGAAAAACAGACCAACACACAAAAACTTAACACTGAGCAATGAACTGTGAAAATGAGGTCAAGGTCAAATAAAAACTGCGAGACTGACATAAAGATCATAATATTTCCATACACCAAATATAGTTGACCTATTGCATATAGTATTAGACATGTTAGAAAAAAAGACCAAAACTCAAAATCTTAACTTTGACCACTGAACCATGAAAATGAGGTCAAGGTCTAATGACACCTGCCAGCTAGACATGTACACCGTACAATCATTCCATACACCAAATATAGTTGACCTATTGCTTAAAGTGTAAGAAAAACAGACCAAAACACAAAAACGTAACATAAGCAATGAACCATGAAAATGAGGTCAAGGTCAAATAAAACCTGCCAGACTGACATGTACATCATTAAATATTTCCATACACCAAATATAGTTGACCTACTGCATACAGTACTAGAAAAACAAACCAAAACACAAAAACTTAACATTGAGCAATGAACCGTGAAAATGAGGTCAAGGTCAAATAAAATTTGCCAGACTGACATGTACATCGTAAAATATTTCCATACACCAAATATAGTTGACCTACTGCATAAAGTACTAGAAAAACAAACCAAAACACAAAAACTTAACATTGAGCAATGAACCGTGAAAATGAGGTCAAGGTCAAATAAAATTTGCCAGACTGACATGAACATCGTACAATATTTCCATACACCAAATACAGTTGACCTATTGCATACAGTATAAGAAAAACAGACCAAAACAAAAACTAAACTATGACCACTGAACCATGAAAATGAGGTCAAGGTCAGATGACACCTGCCAGTTGGACATGTACCCCTTACTATCATTACATACACCAAATATAGTAGACCTATTGCTTATAGTATCTCAGATATGGACTTGACCACGAAAACTTAACCTTGATCACTGATCCATGAAATGAGGTCGAGGTCAAGTGAAAACTATCTGACGGGCATGAGGACCTTGCAAGGTACGCACATACCAAATATAGTTATCCTATTACTTATAAGAGAGAATTTAACATTCCAAAAAATCTGAACTTTTTTTTCAAGTAGTCACTGAACCATGAAAATGAGGTCAAGGACATGTGACTGACGGAAACTTCGTAACATGAGGCATCTATATACAAAGTATGAAGCATCCAGGTCTTCCACCTTCAAAAAATATAAAGCTTTTAAGAAGTTAGCTAACGCCGCCGCCGCCGCATCACTATCCCTATGTCGACCGCAGAGGTTGAACCCTGAACAGTTGGGGCAAGTATGGACACAACATTCAAGCTTGATACAGCTCTGAATTTGGATTGTTATTAAATATTTGACACAGCATAGGTTTCTGACACAGAAAGAATGTGGTCTAAGAACTTGAATTTTTTTAATTTACCTATTATGGTCCAATGTCCAAAATCAAAATACATGGTTAGATTCAGCATATCAAAGAACCCCATATATTCAATTTTTGTTAAAATCAAACAAAGTTTAATTTTGGACCCCAACTTGGACAAACTTGAAAACTGGGCCCATAATCAAAAATCTAAACACATGTTTAGATTCAGCATATCAAAGAACCCCAAGAATTCAATTTTTGCTAAAATCTAACTAAGTTTAATTTTGGACCCTTTGGACCTTAATGTAGACCAATTTAAAAAACGGGACTTAAAATTAAAAATCTAAATACACGGTTAGATTTGGAATATCAAAGAACCCCAATAATTCAATTTTTGATGAAATCAAACAAAGTTTAATTTTGGACCCTTTTGACCTCAATATGAACCAATTTGATAACGGGGTCCACAAATAAAAAATCTAAATACATGGTTAGATTCAGCATATCAAAGAACCCCATATATTCAATTTTTGTTGAAATCAAACAAAGTTTAATTTTGGACCCCAATTTGGACCAACTTGAAAACTGGGCCAAAAATCAAAAATCTAAATACATGTTTAGATTCAGCATATCAAAGAACCTCATATATTCAATTTTTGCTAAAATCAAACAAAGTTAAATTTTGGACCCTTTTGACCTTAATGTAGACCAATTTGAAAACTGGACCCAAAATTAAAAATCTAAATACACTGTTAGATTCGGCATAACAAATAAATAAATGTGATCAAAGATTTTACAAATCTAATGCGCCATACTGTGCAATTAAAGATTACTTCTTGAAATTTTTCAATATTTGAAATTTGAAAAAAAAAATATTTGAAGAATAATTCTTTTTAATTTCTGAAATCTGAAATGAGAAAAAATTGACCCCCCACAATTTCTTTTTATCCCCCCTTCCCCTCTTTTTTCCCCCAAAAAATTCTTTCCCTCAAGATGTGGTCATAATCTCAATTCAAATTTCCAATGGAGTTGGCAACCATAATTACCCATTTAAATTTACCATAGTGCTAACTTAATCTATTTTATAATAGAAATATAGTGTCAAATCTTTCATATGGATTTTTTTGTAAAAAAAAAAGATGCAACATTTGCAGATATTTTTACTGGTCTTCCTTTATAAATATGCATTTCTTTAAACATAATTTAAAAGCAGTGTAAGGGAAGTAACAAAAAAGTTGTATTTGGATTACCTCCCTTACACTGTTTTAAATTATCTTTATTGTTCATTAACCATTACTTTATACATAATTTAAAAGCAGTGTAAGGGAGATAATTTCAATGATGTATTTGATTTATCTCCCTTACACTGCTTTAAATTATGTTTTGTACTAAAGTATTTGTCCATTAACCAGGACAACCTTGTTTTTCCCCCTTTTTTGCCCCTAATTCCTAAACGGTTTGAGCCATAACCCCCCAAAGCAAATCCTAACCATCCCTTTGTGGTATGGAAACTTGTAGTATAATTTCAGAGAGATCCATACACCGTTGCACAGTTATTGTCTGGAAACTAGAAAATGCATATTTTTGGCCCCTTTTTGGCCCCTTATTCCTTAACTGTTGGTACCATAACCCCAAAATCAATCCCAACCTTCCTTTTGTGGTATTTAACCTTATGGTCAAATTTCTAAAAGATCCATTCACTTAAACTAAAGTTAGAGTGCGAAAACCAATGTGTCTTCGGACGACGACGACGACGACGACGACGCCGGACGACGACGCCAACGTCATACCAATATACGACCACAAAATTTTTTTGCGGTCGTATAAAAATGCTTATTTGGGCCCCATTTTGGCCCCTAATTCCTGAACTGTTAGGACCATCATACATGTGAACCTCCCGACGGGAGTACAATAATCCCGTTTTCAGGGGTCTCCTCCCGACCTCCCGTTGAAGAGAAAAAAATCCTGTTTATGAAATTTTTCATGAATGAAAAATCTCTGCCCAACACATTATCTCAGACATCTGGTGTAAGTCAATGACATTACCTGAAGTTATATTTTACCTGTAAATCAATTAACATGCATAATTATATGGCTTCACTTGTCAGCTTGGGTGTCAAACATACTGGTTATCAACGATTATTACCTCAGGCTAACTGCCGTTGTGTAATAAAAACTTTGTGTATTTATTGGGTTACTTCCCTTGATTTATCCTGTTTTAAGTTACTTTCCTTTAAATAATGAAAATTTTTAAAAGAATATAAATAAGTTATAAATTGAACAAATAATGATAAAAGGATGGTAATTAAATGATTTTAAATGTCTTAGGACAAATAAAAAAATAATAATTTGAAAATCATTTGAGGGTTCTATACTTCCTTTCAAGGCTTAAATTGAAATTCATATAATAACTATGACCATTTCTTTTAGACTGAATGAGTGTCTGAATATTCAAATAGAAACTAATTGCAATTGCAGATAGTTAAACAAATGTTCTGATTGCAATGATTGTTCAAAAGGATAATGTTATAAAAGATATGAAGTAAAATATTTAAAGAACATACTAAAAAAAATGAAAGTTAGATTGAACATGTAGAATATAAAGATAGAGAAACTTTATAAGTACAAGGGTACTTATAAACATAATACATTGGGTGGAAAGTTGAAGAAAACACACTTTAAAAGACAATTTTTACAGCACACAGTTACATTTACACATTTACGACAAAATTTATGTCGATTAAAAACCTCCTGATCTGAGTCCTAATCTCCTGACCAAAATTTCCCAATCTCCTGATCTGAGTTTCACAGTCCATCACATGTATGGACCATAACCCCCAAAATCAATCCCAAGCTTCCTTTTGTGGTCATAAACCTTATGGTAAAATTTCAAAGAAATCCATACACTTAAACAAAAGTTATTGTCTGCAAACCAATGTGTCTTCGGACGACGACGTGATACCAATTATACGACCGCAAAATTTTTGCATCATATAACCAGGTTCAATCCACCATTTTCTACATAAGAAAATGCCTGTACCAAGTCAGGAATATGACAGTTGTTATCCATTCGTTTGATGTGTTTGAGCTTTTGATTTTGCCATTTGATTAGAGACTTTCCTTTTTGAATTTTCCTTGGAGTTCAGTATTTTTGTGATTTTACTTTGTACACATCAGTGCGCTCATAAGCAATTTTCCATATAATTAATATTTCCCAGGGGCATAACTCTTTTAGAAATTATTGATCGGCACTGATTTTTGAACTTGTCAAAGACATTGCTAATATAAAGCTATGATTTAAGTTTCATAAAATTCTGGCAAGAACTGTACACCAGTGCGCTAACAAAGCAATTTTCCATATATATTTAATGTTTCCAAGGGACATAACTCTTTGATAATAAATTGATCCGCACTGATTTTCAAACTCGTCTAAGACATTGCTGATATAAACCTATGATATAAGTTTCATAAAAATATGGCGAGAATTGAACACATGAGAGCGCTAAAGATGCAATTTTCCACATAATTAATGTTTCCAAGGGGCATTACTCCTTAAAAAATAAATGATCGGCACTAACTTTCGAATTTGTCCAAGACATTGCTGATATAAACCTATGATATAAGTTTCAAAAAAATCTGGCAAGAATTGTACAAATGAGAGGGCTAACGATGCAATTTTCCACATAATTAATGTTTCCAAGGGGCATTACTCCCTTAAAAAATAAATGATCGGCACTAACTTTCGAATTTGTCCAAGACATTGCTAATATAAACCTACAGAGCTCCAGATAAGCTGCGTATTTGCGTGATCACGCAATACAAATAATTAAAAACCCAATGCAATTGCCCATTGCAGGGTTCAATAACCCAATTAATTCAAAGGAAAACCCAATTATATGCCAAAACCATGAGTTCTTAACGCTTTTATTCGCTATCGTTTGCGTTATTTACCCTTATCTGATTACAGTCGTCGCGTAAATCTATTTTTATAATATTTATAATTGGAAATGTCCTTTCGTTCTTAAAATAGAGCCCTGCATCAAGTAGCTATAATGGGTCCCTGTTGGAATTTTCCGTTGCTCAAAAGGTACACGTGTTTATGAAAACATTTCGATCTTCTCGGAGTTTATCCAATTAGCGTGTGACATGCTGTCATATTTATTCGAATTGCTCGGGATTTATCTTAACATACAATGAATTAAAACGAAAGTAAATGTGCGATAAAAATATTGAATAGAAGCATGTTTTCGGCTTCTTTTTCATAGCTGAGGGAAAGTTATGATGATAACAAGACTCAGCTAGTGATTTTAGGAAGCGTCCATTGAACGCACGGGCGTGTTTGAAGGTACGAGAACATTGCTATAGAACGATAAACACGGGGTTTCGTCAAAAACGAAATCAGTTGGAAAAAGTGAAAGGCCAAATCAATTATGACATGATATGTAGTTGGAAAGCATCGGAAACCAAAAGTTCTGATAAGGGACAACTTAACCCAGATTTATGTAAATTGAATTAAACAAAAACAGTTTATATATTATTTTTTTTTCATTTTAGTTGATGAATGAATAGCTGCGGAACCGTAGCTCTTGGGTCCTTATGTTATTTTTTGACTATTTGCGGACCATAGATCGTCCGCAAATAGTCAAAAAATAACATAAGGACCCAAGAGCTACGGTTCCGCAGCTAATGAATGAATACACATATCCGTTTTTTACGTCAAATTATGCAGCTTGACACTTTCTTTGTTTTGGTCTAATTGTTCTGGATGCTTAAGATAGTTGTCTTATTGGCAAGTGCAGTATAACATTGTCATTTATTTACTTGATGTTGCAGAATTATTTGTAAATTTAAGTTGAATGTGGTCTCCATCATTAAACCACCCTATAAATCTCAAGGTTTTGGGGTGTATCTTAAATCTGGGATCTACTTTTTATTTTTATTAAAAAGTAGATCTGGCAAATAGGTGAAAGGACTTGCAAAACTTTCTTACAGCACTTAAATTTCATATATATTACATAAAAATGTAAACACTTAGCCACATCTA